GCTAATCGTCGTTCAGCGGCATTGTATCATTGCCTACCCACGGTTGATTAACTACGGCGAAGGCTACGACGACCTCATTGACGCTAACGGCAGGGATGGAAACGCCCTATCGCCGATTGCCAATGGCAAGATGGAAGAGCACTACAAGAAAATGTATAGTGAAGAAGTCCAAGTCCGGAATATCGTCGAGGTCCTCAGTCAGTACAAGCACTCCAGGGACCCTCTCGATCAGGATGTGTTTGCTTGCATGATCCACGGGCTCTTCGATGAGTATAGTCATTATGGGGATTATCCATTGGAGGCCCTCGCTACTACCGCGGTCCTCTTTGGCGGTATTATCTCCCACAAGCTTGTCTCTAATCTACCTCTTCAGATTGGATTGGGCATGATTCTGGAAGCCGTCCGAGATCACTCCCAGGAGGATCCTATGTACAAATTCGGTCTTCAGGCACTGATGCAGCTGTTCGTTCGATTCCGAGAGTGGCCCAGCTTCTGTAGACAACTTGTTCAAATTCCAGGACTCCATAACACAGAGGCTTTCAGAAAGGCAGAAGAGGTCGTTCGCGAACACGACGAGGAGCTTTCGCGTGGGCGCAACGGTGCTGGAACACCTCATGGGCTGGGATACCAGGGCGAAGCATTCCCGAATGGAAACGTTGAAGAGCTTGCGACTGCCGACCGTCAAGCGCCCGCATTTGCCTCTCTTAATGTTGACCCACCACCTCCCGACGTTGAATTCGAAGATCCGGATGAAGGCGCCCAGGACAAGGTACAATTTGTTCTTAACAACATTACTGAGGGGACGATCCGGGAGATGTGTCAGGAACTCCGAGAGACTATGGAACGTCGGCACCAGCAGTGGTTCGCCAGCCACCTGGTCGAGGAACGCGCCAAAATGCAACCAAATTACCACCACGTGTACCTCGAACTGGTCAGGTTGCTTGAGGATAGGGCTCTTTGGAGCGAGGTTCTGCGAGAGACTTACGTCAGCGTATGTCGCATGTTGAACTCCGAAGCAACGATGCAAAACTCAACCGAGAGAACACATCTCAAAAACCTCGGAGGCTGGTTAGGTCTCTTGACACTGGCGCGAGATCGCCCCATCAAGCATAAGAACATCGCGTTCAAGCAGCTTTTGATAGAGGCACACGACACTAAACGGCTCATCGTTGTCATACCTTTCGTTTGTAAGGTACTGACACAAGGCGCCACATCAGCAGTTTTCAGGCCTCCGAATCCCTGGCTTATGGACATCATCCATTTGCTGATCGAACTGTATCACAATGCTGAATTAAAGCTCAACCTTAAATTCGAAATTGAGGTTTTGTGTAAGGGCTTAAACCTGGACCACAAGAGTATTGAGCCCTCTGGCGAGATTCTAAATCGACCTGTCGTCGTTGAAGAGCCAGCTGACGTCTTGCCTACCGAACAACTCGATGCCTTTGAGAATCTGTCGTTGAATGGCATCGGTTCCACTGTTGGTGCTGGGCTCTCCCCTCAAACCCTTGCACCAACCATCCCAGACCTTGGTCCATTAATTAATATCCCCCCTACTAATGAGATGGTTGTCAGCACCACTCGGCTTCACGAGATTGTGCGTACGGCGCTCAGCCGTGCATTGCAGGACATCATTCAGCCTGTCGTTGACCGATCAGTTACGATTGCCGCAATTTCAACTCAGCAGATGATTCATAAGGATTTTGCCATTGAGCCTGACGAGAACCGAGTACGAACCTCGGCTGTAAGCATGGTGAAGGCCACGGCTGGTAGCCTTGCTCTTGTCACGTCCAAGGAGCCTCTTCGTGCCAATTTCACTAATTATATGCGAAACCTCTCGAACGACCTTCCTCAGGGACTTCCCGAGGGCACAATCATCATGTGCGTCAACTCCAACTTGGACCTGGCTTGCAACATTATCGAGAAACAGGCTGAAGAGAGAGCTGTCCCTGAAATTGAGGAGATGATCGAATCCGAACTTGAGGCTCGTCGAAGACACCGCATCCAGAGGCCCAATGATCCTTATTTCGACTCGAGCCTTAGCCGTTGGGCCATGGCCATTCCCCACCCCTACAAGCTTTCACCAAACATTAACGGCTTAAACCATGAGCAAATGGCCATATACGAAGATTTTGCTCGGCAACCACGCAGTGCAACTCTCCCCACACCCTCCCATGGCCAGTCAGCCTCTGATGCTACCAGGTCAATGGCAAACGAGGTGTTGCAGGAGCCATTCACCACTGTCCCCAACATTCCAACTCCTGCAGAGACTCCTTCGGTTCAGCAGCAGCACTTGGGCGCTCAAATGCAACCCTATGCGCCTGTTCATAGCGGCGCTAACAACATGCCCAATGGAAGATCGCCTGGGTTCCAGATGAATGTTCAGAGCTTGGCTGAGCGAGTGAACAAATTGCTTCAAGAACTTGTCAGGGTGGCTAGCGAGTCACCCGAGGAGCATTTCCAGGGCTTGCCACGACCTCATTCTCTCCTGGATGTCGTCGATGCGCTAGTACAGCACATCATCAAGACATCGCAGAACTCGGAGGAATTTGCTATCTACGCTGCGGAACAGATCACTGGCCTCATCTTCTCGCAGGTAGATGACAATTTGACCCTTGAGAGTTTGGTCCATGTGTTGGAAACATTGAGGAAGATCTCTGGTCCTGCTCTCAACAGCCGTATCCGAACTCTCTTCAGCCAGCAGGCCGGTTCCACGTTCTTGAACTTGCCATTGCTTGCAGCGCTGGTCCGAACCGATCTATTGGAGTGGAGAAGCATCGATCTGGCCATGTCCAAAGCACTTCAGGCTCGTAAGGAGGGCTCTCTCGACTTCTTGGAGCACATGCTTGATCTCACTCTTCTCGATGCTCGCCCAATCGCCCTGTACGCTGACTTTGCCTCCACCTTGGAGGCAGCTTGGGTTTGGATTCTAGAGGATCCTGAGTCCTCTGCTGGTCAACGAATCAAGTCGAAGCTGATCAATACAGGCCTTACGCGTCCCACACCAGTCGATAACCAAGTTCTCTTCAAACACGACCAGATAGAGTATGTGTTTGACGAATGGATTAGACTCTGCCACAACCACAATGCATCTGACAATATTATTGCGGCATTCGTGCAGCAACTACAAAGCAACCAGGTTCTACAAACCCGTGATGACTTTTTTGTCTTTATCCGTGTCGCACTTGACCTCTCTGCCGACCGGTTTGAATACATCGTCCGCACTGGATCTCTTGGAGATGCCTATGTGATGGTGGACGCACTTTCCAAGCTCATCGGAACTTTTATTGGCATGGGTTTTGAGCCAACATCCACCCGCCCAGCATTCATCGACTCGGTTCTGTCGCTCATTGAGCTTATCCTTACCAACCACCATGTCAAGCGCGGAGAGGAGTTGAACCAAAGAGTTTTCTTCCGCCTCCTTTCTATGCTTTTCTATGAGATTCAGACCATCTCTGAGGCCTTGCCCGAAGATGAACGCCGCGAGGTTCTGATCAAGATGGCAGTTCGACTCAACAAGATCGGGCCTGCTTTTGCCCCTGGCTTTATTTACGGCTGGCTCTCTCTCGTCCAGCACCGCGCTTTTATGCCTTCCATTTTGCAGCTGCCCGATGGTGCTGGCTGGGTACCCTTCGTCACACTTGTTTGCCAGTTACTCGACACCCTGGGTGACCAACTTAAGGTATTCGAGGTTTCAAATATTGCAAAGGACATTTACCGGGCTACGTTCAAGCTGCTCATCATTTTGCACCATGACTTCCCCGAGTTTATTGCGGCCAATCACATCAGGCTCTGCGCCAGTATCCCGCCTCATTGTACCCAGCTCATCAACGCTGTCTTGGCTGCTACTCCTCAACAGATCCCAAGGTTCAACGATTCTAATGCCAAAGACCAGACCGACGAGACAAATGTTCACCCTAGCCTCATCCATGAAGCTACTTCCGTGCTTCAGGATCAAGGACTCCTGAACGCTATCGACCAAGCGCTTCAAAGTGGCCCGACAGAAGACATTGTTGCTAATATCACACATGCCATGGCACAGGACACTCGCAAGACGACAACCTACGGCCACGTCCCTGTCGATGCTAACATGGCGGTCATCGATGCTGTTAATATTTATACTGGACAGCGTGCCGCAGAAAAGGCCGCACAGGCAGGCATCACAATGTCTGTCACCGGCGATGAACACGAAGTGACCCTCCTTTCCATGATCCTCCACGAGCTCTCTGCCGAGGTTAGATATTATCTGCTCGTCAGTGTGGTTAACCAACTTCGATTCCCCAATGCGCACACCACTTTCTTCCGACAGGCGCTTCTATACTTTTTTGGCAGGGACCTTGACGATCCTGAAGAGAACGAGATTCGTCAGGAGATCACCCGAGTGCTGCTTGAGCGGCTGGTTAGTTTCTGGCCTCAGCCATGGGGTCTCCTCTATACTGTCGTGGAACTCATGAAGAACGAAAAGTACATGTTCTTCGATCTCCCCTTTATCAAGGCAACCCCCGACGTAAGTCTAGGCCGTATGCTCCCATCTTGTCTTGGTACTAATATGTATTATCAGGTTGCCGAGAAGTTCTCACGAGTACTTACACAAGCTTAAGCTGGAGGCCACGTTCTTAGCCTGGAACGATTGGGACACGGCAGTACAAAAAGGAAATTATAGGAGAATCATAATATGCTATCAATAGGGGTTTTGGTTTGGGAGGCGATACATTACGATGAATTGTGAGATGAACGGGGCGTTGGGTCCAAAAAAAAAAAGAATTCAGAATTATAGAGGAGCGAAATGTTATGAGGTGCTGAGCCATCTTGTCCGGGGGGGCAAGAGTATCTTCAACCTGAAAGCAGCTCGCAGTTAATACTGTATTACTGTACGATAGTATTTACGATGTGTCAAAAGACATAAAATATCATGCGCATGATCGATCTTGGATCTGCTACATCTCTTTTTCATCTTGTCCATACGCGATATCCAAGTTGTTCCAAAATCTTGGTGTATTGATCTAGACAGTGACAAAGCCACGCATAACTGGGGTAGCTGTTCCCGAGAGCTTGACTGTAGCAATCTCGGACCCTTTCATGCCAACATCAACTACGATGTTACTCTCCCTGCCCATCTCAACACCCTGGTCGATTTCGTATCGGAAGTCGTGATCACCAGTGCTAGTCTGCTGAAGCGAAAGGTAGCTTGAAAGCGCGCTTGCAGCACTGCCTGTAGCTGGGTCCTCCATGGCAGCTTCCATCATCCTCGACCGGATAGAATATATTGACACACCATCTTCCTCACGTCGGTTGTTGACTACGTAGTAATATTTGCAGAGGAGGCTTTTTTTCCAACCACCGTCAAGAACGTCATTCGCAGGCAGGGATACGCCGCTTAATTGAACCCTTCCGAGATGATCAAGATCAGGAAGCTCGATGAGCACAAACGTCATACCATTGACGATACTGAACAGGGGTGCACGCAGTTCACAATCGCGTATCGCGGGGTCTGGAGAGATTTGGCCAGGCGCTGGTGCTGATAGATCGGCCAAGGTCTTTTGATGGCAGCGAACGTTGTGCGGAATAGCAGCTTGGATATAACCGGGACGGGTCTGGGTGAGTGCAATTGGGCCTGCTTTTGTTATGACCGTATCAACGCCCTTGGGGATGAGCGTGACAGCGGCACCTATAGTAGGATGTCCGGCAAACGGGATTTCGGCGTCCGTTGTAAATATGTCGATCACTCGGCGAGTGACATCACTGCCGGCATCAGGGCTGGCCTCGTGGATAAAGACTGTCTCGGAGAGGTTGAATTCGCGGGCAATGGTTTGCTTCTGCTCTTGCGTAGGCTTAGGATTACTGCTATCTGCTGGGATCGTAACGACAGCGAGGGGATTGCCTCGGTAGCGAGTCTTTGTGAAGACATCGAGTGTAACAAAGGGAAGCTCCATGGTTAAGCTTTGGTGGCTTCAGCTGGAGGGATGTTAGCTTCTATGGAAGTGCAGCTGCAACAGATGCGGCACTGGAGAGATCTGATACAGATAGGCTGGAGATTGGGCGCGGGAACCTGACCTTGACAAGAGCTTTGGCCTGATGAATCTCGATATAGCAACAAGCTGAGTGAGGATTATGACGAAGGAGGGGAAGAGTGTGGTGGGGCAGCGTCACTTTGGCAAGATGGAAAAGTAAAAACTGAGTCAGGAGAGTTCATGTGCTACGCTGAGTATAGGGTAACCTCTTGTCCCAGGATTCTGGCGTCTCGTAAAGGCAAGTGACTGTAACCAGTCGGTTATAAATTGCTTAGACAGATAAGTAAGTATATTTCCACGGTGTCACGAACCAGAAGTCTATCTCAGTATTCGGAGATTGTTCAGGTTCAAAACAGGGTTCCTAAATGAGACCACCAGAAAGAAGGGGGCTTTCTGTTAAAAGAGAGTTGTTGTGTTTGGTATGTCCTTTTACACTTAGGTAAAACGCAAAGGTTTGGTGGAGACAAGAACGGCATTGAAACGAATTGGCCAATCAAATAACAAGGATTATTTAGTGTTGATCATGGCCTGTCCCATCTGACAAAAACGGCTTGAGTGGCCTCAGGCAAGCAGGAGGTCGGTTCCATGTCTGCAAGGCGCCAAGACATGAATAGTTTGACGAACGACGGGGACTTGCAAGGAAAAGACAGACACCTCGTAGGTTGGTTTTCGAGGGATCTGCAGGCTAGTCGTTACCAGTGACTTCATGGCGGATAAAGCACGAACAGGGCAAACCAAGGATATTGCAAAAGACACACAGAAGTTGCAGCTCGTGGTGACTTCAGATGTCCCGCAGTTGAACACATCTCTCAGACCTATGATGAGCGAAAAGTCGGCATTTCCAACATTGTTGCCGTAAATGGAAACTCATCAGACGATGGGCCTGGGCAAGGGGCCGTGGACTGAACCCAGTCTCGGTGGGCCTTTGCAGAGCAAAGCTTGAGCAAGGCCTAGGCGAAAGTGGAGAGCACCCATGCTAGTGGCAGACGCTTGTTGCAGCTGGCGCGGCAAGGGGCAGGGCTAAAGATGTGCCAGTGGATATTCACCTCGTGGCATGCATCTCTTTGGATGGAGTGACATCCATTCACTCAGTCGTCGGTGGACCGTAGGGTAAACATAAAGAAGGTGATTTTGTTGATCAGGAGGCGAACTCTTTCCACTTTGAAAGATGACGCAGCAACTACAGGATGGTGGCTGGGCTGGGTCCAGGCGTTATTTTGTGCGTGTGGTGGGTAAAAGAGTCGTGTAAGAGAATTGGATGAATTCGATCTAATAAGCAGATCTGGACCAGGGGGGTATCAGTCAATGGCTGGCTTGAGGCATTGCGTGAGGTGGTCAAAGTTTTGATGTGCAAGGGCAGCTTATCGCGATTTTGCGTCGGTAATCAATGCCCAACGGCCAATCCAACATGGGATTTGAGCAGAGGCCAAACAAGACTCAAGATGACGCCTGAGCCGGAGACTGAATCGATTGCCGCGTACCCTCAAATCTGTCGCTCACTTACACAGAGGCAAGTGGAGGGCCGATCAAGGCTCCGCGGCTATAGTAATAGCATCAAGTCATATGAGTGAAGGAAAACCTCGGCCGGAGAAAGCGCTCTGAAACCCACTCCCCTGTCCAATACTGACTGACGCCAGTCAGGATAGAGGGAAACATGCTGGAATACCAATTGTGTCATTGGCTGTTGAGGCTAATGTATGTAAGAGTGTAATGTCAAGCGAGACGAGACACTTACACACATATCGGTTGAGACATGGACATGGGATGAGTATAGCCTTGCACATTGGTCTCGACCTCGATATCGGCCTCAGGCACAAAGAGTGTCTGCTCTGCATTGCAACAATAAGGGATTGGTTTGATTTGATTGCCATAGGTGACGGTTAAATGGAGTCAAACAAGGGGTCCTGCCGGTGCTGTCGGGATTCTTTTTGATGATTTGGCCCACTGCTCATCTCCATCGACTTTGAGATGAAGTGGATACTTTGCGTATTCGACAACATTAGGAATTGAAATGTGTCGGGACCAGCTTTCTCGCTTGGCTTGGCGCTCATATTGAGCTGAATATAGATGCTCATGCATTAACAGTATCTCGTCCTGTACAGCATAAGCGTGTCAAGAGAATGCGGTGTAAGAAAGATGGTCGCACGGAGCAAACAGATGCATCTGCAGATGCAGCAGTTGCAGGTGTAGTTGCAGATGCGGTGTGACCTGTAATAAAAGAGAAGCCAGGTTGGGCAGCCAGGGTTCAGTTCACTTGAATGATTATCTATTGACAGGGACACCAGGTAATGCCTGTCTGATCTGCTGTGCTGTCCTGTGTTTTGCTCTCTCTGCTACCTGAGCTCTGATCACATTACCTACAGAGTATCCACGGCCATTCTCGGGCGTTCCCCAAAAAAGATTTCAGGGTCCTCCGAGCACGCGCTAACTACGTACCTAGTAGCAGTGACCCGAAGTGGCCCGGGTTCCGGAGGTATTTTACCTTTGCAGAACGGACGCGGATGAGGCGGAAAAAACAACAGAGTCGGGCATGAGGCGAGGCTATTTCCTGAGAGGCAGTAGTGAAGAGGCTGCTGAGGCATGTACTGTACAGTCCAACCACAGTTGATCCTACCAAACTAAGCCAGAAACAGAAAAGAAATGGAAGACATTGGCGAGTCAAGATGGCTAAACTCTTCAAAGTAAGTACAATGATTAAGGTCATTTTATGTTTGTAAGTACTGTACCTGGTTGCGTAAGTTCCATTGCCTCTGCCCGGGCCGTCTGGTCATCATCGATAATAATTACTGACATTTGATTGATTGATTGATTGATTGATTTATATACATTGAGTCGTGTCAGAACGTGAAAAGGTTACTTTAGCTGCCTGGTCAAGAGTAAGCGCCCTGTTTATTTGGATGGCAGCCATTATGCAACCAGGCTGCTTCTGCCCGTCCCCCATTGAAAGGAACAACACAGACAGCAGAGGGGAAAAGTGCTGTCAATGTCGGTCGTTTTTTCCTTTGCAATTTTGTCGCGGCTGGATACTTGAATTACAAGGATGCTCCTAGATATCCACAATCATGACCCCACCATGCGTTAGCGTGCCCCGCTCTCGGCAGCCATGCACGCCAGTCTCAACCAATCCAGTTTAGTTGAAACGAAAAAAAAAAAAAAAAAAGTTCGAGCTCTCGTGCTCTCGTTGCTCTTGCTCTGCTTCCCTTGCTCTTGCTCTGCTTCCCTTGCTCCAACATGTGGCAGTCAGCACACAGAGTTCACTCTTTCCCGTCATAGAGGGGAGCATCACTTCTCCTCTTGTAAGTCAGAGTGTGCCTCCAGTCCTGCAATGGAGACAAGTTCATTCTCTCCGGACCTATCAGCTTACAAGAATTGATTCATTGCAAGTCCCTTCTTAGCTAGCTTCCCCGTTTGTGCCTTCCCCAGCACCGCTACTGTACAAGTCTCATCGCCCACTCTTTGCCCCCCATCTCATCCCCTTCTACTGGAGTATCCTCCTCCTCATGGTTGCCATTATTGCGCGCTCCCTTGCCTACTTTCCATCTTCTGTTGCTCTTGCTCTTGTGTCGTCAACACCCGTAGACCGCCTCCACTCTCGGCTTCAGTCCATCGATCAATAACAAACACTCCCACCCCCCTTCGATCACCATTCCCTTGACATCTCTCCTCCTTCATTCTTCCATCTTTATCCATACCTATAATCTACATCACCGTTGTCCTCGCTAGATCCATATAGTAGACCCTTGGAGATCTCTCTGATCCCTTTCAACACCGAGTTTACAAACTGCTAGCAACGTCCCGGTGACCGTTCTACCAAAAGTCTACAGTCCATCCGTCCATCATCTGTATAGATAGACTAGACTTCTTCTCTTCCAAGCTTAATCTCCATCTTGTTTCAACACAACATTCTCGCCATGCCTTACAATACGCGCCGCAAGTCGCTATCTTTACCCAGTCTCGGCATACACGTCCCAATGACACATGCTGCTCGCGCTGCTGCCGCCGCCTCCAAGAGCGCTTCAAGATCGTCCTCGTCGTCATTATCCAGTGCTGCCTCATCCGCCTTGTCATCACCCTCATCAGGTTCTGAGGCCCCCGAGGCGCATCCCAGCAAACGACAGAAGCGATCCCATACCGACGACAGTGCTATTGAGCAGACACCACCTCCTTCGCCTACACTAGACTCGAGCCTCGATCTAGATACAGTGAAGTCCAAGATTGACTTTGAAGCGATCCGCGACGATATCGTTGAAGCCGTTATTATTCGATTGCAATCTACTGGAAACCGTCCTCATCTGGTCAAAGAGTTGGCTACCGTTTTGGCCCAACGTCTTACCTCTGTGCAACAGTAAGTTTTGAGACACCAACCATTCCCCTCAACCCCTCCACTTCCCATGCGCTAACATTCCGATCCCAGCTCTGCCAACCCTTGCGCCATCATCTCTTCCCGGCTGGCTTCATATGCTAAGCGATCATGCTGGACTGCCCAAAAACCCTGCCCTCTCGCCAAAGAACTCGAGAACATTCACCCTCGGAGGACTTACTACTTTCTCGCTACCTGCCCTCGTCAACCCATCCCTGAACCCAGTTCCGCTGTGCCTTCTCTTTCCGCTCTCGACACGCCTTCCGTGTCGTTGACGGACGACTCTGGCTCTGACGATGTTGAAGCTCGCAGACGCGAACTCAGTCCCTCGCCCGAGGTTGACCTCTCGGATCACGGATTTGAGGAAGGTGACGATGAAGTCATGATGCCTGCCACTCCCATTGGCTCTCTTCCTTCTCATCATCGCTTTGTGCCAAACCGTCGCAACAGCCGTCACAACTCACCGCCTCTGGAAAAAGACGAGCGGGAGTTTACTCAAACGGCCGATTTCTTGCAGAAACGCAAGTTTGCCGAAGACACCCCTGCTGCTGAGACCGCCGATCGCACCACTCACACCTCGGAGTATGGATACCGCGACGACTTTTGGTTCGGTGACCACCGCATCTTCACTTCAAGTGCCTTGCTTACTAGCCCCGCGGTAAAGCCTAGCTCCATGTCAAACATGACATCAGGTCCCCGAAAAGAAGATGACGGCGAGACCTGGTTGAAGTTTAACAAGCTTATGGAATGGGACCAAGGCGCCGAGAGTATTGAAATTGACGAGCTCGATGGCTTGCTTGACGACTGCTGAGCGATTACGACTTCTCTGGCAGCTGCAAGAGATCGGGGATGAACGAGATGATAATTCCGCCATGTCTGCGACGACGGATATACGACACACACTTACATATTAATTGCATGGGGAAGGCGCTTGTTGAAGCATTTGTACATTTAGAACAGTCTGGTGTTTTGGATTGATTGGGTTTGGAGTACCAGGAAAAGGGATTACAGCATCCCCGTGGTTTTGATTTATTCGGCGCCAAAAAGGTTGCGCATATTTGGGTTCTAAAAATGCAATGCCGCTCATACTGCTTTCGACTCTTGAATATTGTACATAATCCTATATTCTACAAACCCTTCTCATTCTTCATATTAATCGTTTGCTCGAGTGAATGCGTGACGTGTCAAGTCTTGTCATTCACGCGTAACTCGACCCAGACCAAGGTGCCCATTTGTAGAAAGTTGGGCCGTTCCACCTTGACGATTTCAAGGCCTGGTGTTTTGCTTGCTGCCTCTTCGACGAGAGCCTCGATATCGCGATTCCACCAACAGCCGTATTTCGCAAAATGTTTGCCAGCATTTTGATCGAGGAGACCATTAACAATACCATACCAGCCCTTGCCGTGCTCGAGGAGAATTATGCGACCTGACCCTGGCTTGACAACCTTGGCCAGGTTATTGACGACAGCGACAGGGTCAGACACGGAGCACAGGCCAAATGTTTGAATAACCGTATCGTATTTCGTGGTCGCAGGGGTCGCCGGCCCGGGAATCGGATGATGTGCGTCGGAATGAATTAATCGGAGTTGATCGTTGAGATACGATAATTGTCCTCCGGTATGGTCGGCCATAGTAGATGCGCGGACAATGGGATCAGACCCTTCCATAGGCGGAACAGTTTTGACCAGGCGTTTTCGAGCTACATCGAGCATATCGACCGAAATATCGAGACCGGTGAATGACAAAACACCTCGAGGGATCTTACTGCCGAATTTGCTGAGTTTCCCTTCCACGCGCATGTTCAATGGCTCCCAGTTGAAGTATTCCAGGTTGCGACCTGTGCCCATTGCCAACTCCAGTACATGTCCGTCCGCGCGTTCTGCTAAGCGCTTTCGTAACTTTGTGATGCCCATCCACCACTCGGGAAGAGTAAGCTCCTTGTCGAACTGTTCCGCGTTATCGCCATCGAGGGCTGGTGGTCGACCAGTAGGGGTAGCGTGTTCGCATTCGCCGCTGCAGGGTGTCGCTTTGAAGGACGCGGCAGCTGTTCCGAAGATGTAGAAGCCGAGAGCACCGGCGAGTAGAGCTGCTCCTGTTAGAGGAAGCCATGTTGCACGCCAGAGATCGAGAAGAGTTTCGGCTTGCTGGGGAGACGACGAAGCGGAGGACGAGGACGAGGATGAGGTGGATGTGGAGGAGGGTTTCGGGATATATTCAGGTCGAGGTTTGCTGGGCGTTGTGTATTAGTATACTCGCTTTTTGGGTATCGTATGCGGACAAGGAGATGTACGGTTTGTAGGGTTTCGAGATCTTTGGTGGGGGTCGAGATGTCGGCGTTTTGATATTAGGGCGGGGAGTTCGAGGTGTAGAGCTCGCGAAACGGCATTGTGTGCGGAAGGCTCTCATAGTGAGACCTCGAGCTGAATTGATCATGATGGCGGTATTTCCATGGGGTTCGTGGCGACTATTGAGGTGCGAAACGGGGGAATTGAAGCTGTCTTGATGATGAGGTTTTACATGTCGAAGTGAGTGGATGAAAATACGATTACAAGCAGGGTTTCGTGGAGCGGGTCGGTTCCATTCGACGGGTGGGTCCGATCTCTGGGGGCGCATTCATCATATCGCGGAGCGTTAACGGTCATTGATACCTTTATGACTTACAACAATCATCTGTTGACACTAAATCTCTTGAATCAGAAGCTGAACCAGAATTACAACAGAGAGCCTCACAGACCATACAGCTCTCTTTTCAGCTGATACAAATAAAGCATGGCAACACAAAATGACCTCCAAGAGCTTATACGCCTGCTCACGGCGCGTAAAGTGTCCATGATGGCAGCCATGGGCCACGTAAAAGCTCTGCAATCAAAGAATCTCCGGAGGTAGCATTGGTAAAATCATCTTATAACATTATACTAACGTGTATACTACAGTATCGCTCAAATCGCTGATGCCCCTTTGGCTACAGTCGAGGAAGCCCTCGGTGATGATGCCAAGATAGCAAAGAGTCTTCACACAGCGTGCAAGAATCACGAGAAGAAGAGTGGTACTAAGCGCGCAGCTGAAGATGGCGCCAAAACTACTGCGGAAGTGAAGAAGCCGAAACTTGAGGCCCATCGACGTGATTTAGACTATAGCGCTATGTCTGGAGATGATCTCGAAGCAGCTCTAGAGTTACCCTTGGAAGAGGACGAGGAAATCATTCGAAACACTACCGTTATTACTAATAGGGCGCCCTTGCTCTTGGCTTTTGCTGTTGAACTATTACGATTTACTATGCCGGAACAGCCTCTGAGCAGTCGGTTGAGTCTCGCGCAGGCTGTCGTGAGCGCCAATTCGCGAACCAAAGCTATAAGTATAGGTGTCGAGAAGGCTCTCCCTGGTGGACAAGAAAAAGCCCCCGAGGGACAACCAAAGATTTCGATTATGAACCGTCCCGTTCCGGTTCTCAAACGAGGCGGATATACCTGGTCAGGCTCTTCTCAGGTTACATCATCCAACGCTTCAACAGCAACCCTTCAGAGCAGTCCACCAAACCCAAAAGGCTGGATCGCAAGTCGAAAGTTATCTTCGAGGGGTTCTACATTCATAGCCCATGCTATACCTATAACTTCACCTTCTACACGTGGTGCAGTTATCAAATCTCTCATGGCTGAGAAGCCAGAGTTGGAGACTGCAACGCACAACGCCTGGGCTATTCGGACCAGCTTCGGAAACTCACCCCTTAAACAAGAAGCCTCTTTTGACGATGGAGAGTCGGGATGTGGAAACTTCTTGCTCCAACAACTGCGCGATCTCGACATCAGCAATACGCTCGTCGTGCTTACAAGATGGTACGGCGGTGTCATGCTTGGCCCCGATCGCTGGCGCCTGATGAGGGAGTGCCTCAACGACGCTCTATCATCTCAGAAGCGTACATCTAGCCTCAATGGGGAACCTGTCTGGGCTCTCGATCCAGAAGACAAGAATCCCTCAACGTCAACTGTCGGCATGCCGATCCATCGACCAGAGGGTGCACGGAACTACATTCTACGAGCCTTTGCGCCAGTTGAGGATAGCGGAAAGAAGACGGTCACCGCTGCCAACGAAGAGAAACATGAGAATCTGGGACGTGTTCTCGGTGCGTTGCGATTACTGTTTGGGAGCTGGGGTGGTACTCTGGGCCGCGAAGAGCTGGATAAGCGAGCGTGGACTTGGTATATCAACCTTCGGCCTGATGTTCAAGCTGGACCTGCGGGATGGGGTGCAAAGGGAACGTTGAATTTAGGAAAGGTATTGGACTTGAGGAGGAACGAAGGTACATAATGCATGTATTACATGAGCTCTGGTTGAGAACGACAAAACTACTAATATACATCCGCCATGATTTTACCTTGACAATCCAGTTAACATGTTCGTCCTGACCGATGCAATAACTCACGATTTTGAACTTACAAACGTGACTTGGGGCACGAGGAAAGGATGGATGACAATATAACTTTCGGGTTGCTCTAGAGACTCGACAGATTTCACGTATAGGTAGCATGTCGGACATGGCTACTTATGCAGGCGACTTTTCAGATCTCGTATCTAGATGTAGACACAGCAGGCTGAACAATGTATAAAAATTGTAGGGGTGTTCATTTACGCCGAGTTCAATAATTCGAATCTTGTTTTGGATTGTCCAATGCTGTTGCAGTCGCGCCAAATGGGAGACTGGCCAGTCGGCAGCAGAAAGTTGTCCTCCTAAGTCTTAGGGTACAAAAATCCGTAGGTGTTCTAAGAATTATGGTCTAAGTAGCATAAAATGACATGTGAATTTCTTCTGTTATGCTTCCAGCGGCCAAGTTTTCTGATGCCTTGGGGACTGGGTGTTGTCTAGCAGGATGCCTATGTTCCACGAATACATACACCATCACTTATGACCCATAACCCAAATATTATGCGGTTTATTCAACATGATGATGAACCTATCATCATGTCAGAAGTTGCTGTCCAGTCACCTATCGTGCTGACATGTGCTGAGCCCAACCTGTCTATTGTTCCATCAAAAGTGCCCAACGGTTTATGCTTGAGTCCCAATCGTACTCATATCAGGGGGGGTCATGCACACATACTTGTAAAGTTTCCAGGCTTTATAGTTCATGCATGAGCATTAACTTCCAGAGTTTATCGAACAACCGTTGCGCCTGCATGTCTTTGGCCAAGCAACACGGATAGAATGCGCCAACTCATAAACTCCTAGCAAACCAGCCTCTCTGGAAAATTTTCTTATCACTAGGGAAAAACGGTCTTATACCCATCCCATCACGATACCATTGAACCATTTTGAGAGCAAGTATCAGCGGGAAAATGCTTGTTACTCCTCAAAGAATATGCGTATAGGTCTGAAACTGACCTTAACCCCTATCAATTCGTTCTAGGCGCAGTGGCAGAGTGGTCTAATGCGATAGACTAGAAATCTATTCTCTTCGGAGGCGTCTGTTCGAATCAGGCCTGCGTCGAATTGATCTTTTTGCAGTGTGGATGTTTTGTTTCCTGGACAATCAAGTCAGTTGGTCGACCTGTCATAGTTTTTGCTATTAATGAGTCGACGTTGGTTGGTTTCATTGCGTTGATAGACGTTGCAGTGTTGCTGGGTGGATAAATGCATGTCTTGAACAATATTGACTTTGAATGAGGCAGACCAATATGAGTCAACCCGGGCTGTCTCATACAATAAACGACCTGATGACATGTTGAAATTCCGGACGAATAGCCATGTTTCTCTCGAAAACAAGAAATTGTATAAGTCAACCTGGTTTATGGTCATTCTTTGAATTGCCCCGAGACAAAGAAGCGCGACTAAGACGCGTACAGTAGTGTAGCAAGGTTGGAACGACTCACCGTCTCCCCGAGACCTAAATAAGAAAGATGCCCGTAGGTTTAATTGAGCTTTGGATTCTTCTCACCAATGGTTGAGTAGAAGTTCAGTGTAAGCAGGAACAGAGGCGCTTTGGATGAAATGAGTTTAAGCCTGTTACCTGCTAACACATCCATATGATCGCCTAGGTGGTTCTGAAGATTAACTGCTATTAGTGATGTATTACAGGTAGGACCACGCCAGCAACCTACTGAGGTCAGTAACCAAGCAAGCAAAAGAGGTATGCAGCCTGCCTATCTCGTCTAAAAGTAAACATTCATCCATACCGCCTACCTGGTAATATTCATTCATCGCTCAAGTCACGAATTCTCGTTCGCCAGGAACAGCGGCAGAGAGACCACAATCTGTTGCAACGCCCGCCACAAAGTTAATGCACAGACAACGAGATTCTCGTCTCGTATAACACAAAGCTTTTCAAAGATTCCGTCCATTAACTCGCGTCTTTCTTTGTTCTTTTATTTTCTGTTTGTTGACAGACTTGAGCCTGTTCGTACTTGAAATTGGACCCTTTTTCTTTCTTCTGCCTTTCCCCCCGCCTTCCCGTATTCATCATCTTCCTCCTCCCCCACCATCGGCAGAACGAGACCTCTTTTTCTTTGGTCATTGACCGACTAGCAAAGATAGTCTCAAACTCGCAGACATTTTTCTTTGGCTGCCCGAGCAACTCGAGTCTGATTCTTTCTTGACGTTTCACGATTAACGATCGCATAATACGAAACAAGGCAAAGACAAGACAAGACAAGACAGGGCGAGATACCCACTGCGCAATCTCGATAATAAGACGGGACTTGCATCACCGCAACTTAAACCCCGAGAAGCTCTCCCTACAGCTTCAGCTCCCAACATCCACGCCGCCGACGCAGCTGTCTCTTGCTTAATTCTTCTCAAAAGACGGATCTCACGTTTCACCCTTTCTTCAACACAATCATCGATTTGCGATACCTTTTACGCATACACAGCGCCGACCATGGAGAATTACCAGAAGCTGGAAAAGATTGGTGAAGGTACGTGTGCTCTTCTCTGCCAAGCTTCACCCTGAAAGCTCCCGCAGATCACTAGCTTTCTTTTTTACTGCAAGACCATAATTCTGACATGTTCCAGGCACATACGGTGTCGTGTACAAGGCTCGAGACCTCGCCAATGGCGGTCGAATTGTCGCCCTAAAGAAGATTCGCCTTGAAGCTGAAGATGAAGGCGTCCCAAGTACCGCCATTCGCGAAATTTCCCTCCTCAAGGAAATGCGAGACCCCAACATTGTCCGTCTGTTCAATATTGTTCACTCAGATGGTCACAAACTATATCTCGTTTTTGAGTTCCTCGACCTCGATCTCAAGAAGTACATGGAATCTCTTCCCGTAAGCGATGGCGGTCGAGGCAAGGCCTTGCCCGATGGTACATCGCCGCACTTGCAACATCTTGGCCTCGGCGACATGGTCGTTCGCAAGTTCATGTACCAGCTTTGTGATGGTGTCAAGTACTGTCATTCCCGCCGGGTCCTCCACCGTGATCTCAAGCCACAGAACCTTCTAATCGACAAGGAGGGTAACCTCAAACTCGCCGATTTTGGTCTTGCTCGCGCTTTTGGCGTGCCTCTGCGCACATACACTCACGAAGTTGTCACTCTTTGGTATCGATCCCCTGAAATTCTACTGGGAGGCCGTCAATACTCGACTGGCGTGGACATGTGGTCCGTTGGCTGCATCTTTGCCGAGATGTGCACACGCAAGCCTCTTTTCCCCGGTGACTCTGAAATTGATGAAATCTTCAAGATCTTCCGGTAAGTGATATGACTACGCCATGACTATTATTCAGGCAACTAATAGTTCTCCAGCACTCTCGGTACACCCTCTGAAGACATCTGGCCAGGTGTCACATCTTACCCAGACTTCAAGGCATCCTTCCCCAAGTGGCAGCGTGACTACAGTAACTCTCTGTGCAGCACTCTTGATGAACACGGTCTAGAATTGCTTGAGATGATGTTGGTGTATGACCCAGCAAACCGTATCTCGGCTAAGGGAGCTTTCAACCACCCCTATTTTGAGCCGTACCTGGCACAGAAGCAGGCATCTGCTCAGACGAATGGCTATTATCACTAGATGGGATACGCAGCTCCATACCGGATGATGCAGATGCAGATGCACTAAACTTTACTCCGCCGACAGGAAGACTGACGGGTGGAAATAGTATTCTTGCTTTGAGGATACCTTTGGCATTTCGGCCAAAGCCAATGGGACATGCGGACATGGCAACGGCCGCGATGGGGTTTCCAATCGACCCTGAGCAGTCGGCTGCCTCTTGGCTTAAACTGCAGTTCGGCTAGCCTTGCTTGACTCGACCATGCATTGCTGGAAGATCTATCAGTACCTGGACCAGGCATTTGACCAACATAATTGGCTTGTTCTGTTATGGGGTCAAAAGCTATTATGCCTGGTCAACTAATGGAGGTGGTGTGGATTCGTTATGACAGAACAGGGATAGAATCAACAAGCAATTGCTTGTCTTTTAGGCGTTTGGAAGGCAGACAGATAGAGGACTTGAGATCAAGTTCTTACGAAGGGCGGCAGATCTTTTATTCGTATGGCTTTGATTTTGAATGTGCTTTGTAAATGATAGTACTTAGCTCAGCGTGTGGTTTGATATCCGGGGCGTGGCAAAGCATGACAATTGATGATATTATGATACGTTTGGCAAATGTTACCGTGTTCAGTCTTTCCTACTCATTGTGTGCTCTTCAGAGCTATCTCGTAAGACCAACTGCATATGGGGTTGATCAGGAATAGATGGCCCCCATCGGTCGTACGGCGACAATGCAATGGAGGTGTGCAATTGTTGAAGCGATGGACGGCCAGATCCTACAACCCAGCATCACTCAGCCTCTCGGGTGGAATTTGGGATCTTTACCGAGAAACCGGGACGAACCAGGCCGGAGATCAGGACTGGTCACTTGCGTCGACAACAGAGCATTGTGCGTCTCGCCCCCGCGACCAACAACAACAACAGACTGTTGGTCTGGATCACCTTGGCAAGTCTGCACTGCCACGAAGGAGACACCACGGACCGAAGAAATCCCAGGCGTTTTTACAAATGGAGAATATAGGCGCTGATAGCTAATATAGACCGACCAGGTCGCGCGTCTCCATCTAAAGGGCCGCCGGTACTGCAACACGAATCTATTCTGGTAACAATTTCCGATCTGGTGAACCCCATGTCGTCTCTGGCTTGATAGCCGCCTAACAATAATAGCAAGCTGTGGGGTTGGTCTTGAAACGCGGCGCTTAGAGGAAGATTGTAAGCGCCCTCATCTTAAGTGCAGGGTAGGAGTTGTAGTATTTCGTTTCAGCTTGGCAAAAGGTGTATTAATCAATTTTGAAACGTCTAATGCCAACACTGAGGCTGTGTTGTCATTTTGCTTTTGTCTTTATGCTTTACTGGTTTCTGAATCGTGTTGACTCATTGGCGTTGCATGAACATTGGGAGGCATCCAAGAGGACAAGAAGCAAATGTAACCTTGATTACGACTCTTGTAACAGAGGCCTGTAAACTTTACTCAGATAGACATCGCGAAAACCGTTGAGAAGCCTCTTTGAGCCAATATGTCATTATGCATCAAGCTTAAAGCCCCTACAATGCTGAGTTATCATGCAATGATATGTTCAGGCGATCGTGAGCGGCAGTGCACAGCTCGACCGGGGGTTTTACAGCGGGAAGCGCCAATCCCGCGGCTTGAACCGAGGTCTGGGCAAAATGTGGAGACTCTTAGCAGAGGCAGCCTGGGGACTCTCTGTGGGGATCGCCCGGACCGACCGATCGACCGGAGCGGAACAAGAAAAGCATCGGACGTGACCACGGAGGATTCCCTCATTTGTTCAAAGAGTAAAGCATGGATAATTGTTTTGTCGTTGTATTGACGGTTGGTTAGAGTAGGTTCGGTAGTGGAAATACGAGATGGAATTGGGGGTAGTCCACTTTACACGAACACTTAGACTGTACTGGTTGATAGTGGATAGTACGACTTTGCTTTTGCATTGAATATCTACACCGCAATATAGCAACGAGGAGTCATTCGCTGCAGCCCGATCACGGATTTACTAGTTTACGATTTTTAGTTGACTTATTCCCCGCATGGCAGGTAGGTAGTTGGATGTTGGGCATGAGGCATGAGGCTAGGACCAACCCAACCACGCGGACACGTTAGCTACAGCTCAAGGTCATGAGATGGTCCACTCTTGACATTCGTTGCAGCCACCGCTACTGGGAGAGACCTTGGAATAAGGCATGAAAGACTGAAGATCAAGTGATGACCACGACAGTCCTGCTTCTGTCTTGTTTTGTTCTGCAACTATAAGGTTTCATTCGAGATGCTTTATCTCTTGTCGTGTTTTGCTGTGCTGTAGACTACCCATTGGACCTGGACCTAGTTTGGGGTCAAATTTAGTGGATACACGAGTTGTACGCATGAGTGTGAGTGGAGGACATGTCACGCTCTAGTCTGCCAACTCTTCGTGTTGATAAAACCAACTACTACCTACTGTATATACCTCCCTGCCTACGGCACCCTAGAACTTGAAGATCTAGACAGAACCAGGTGGACTCAAACTGCGAATAGCTGCATATCCCGAAACCAGCCATATTGGAACTGTTTGACTGACTGCAGCCCTCCGAAAGCGGTCGATCCAGTACGCGTCGGCGTCGCCACCAATATGAGCCCACATACCATACCTCTTCCGGTGCCTGTGCCACACTTGCTTTGCGTAGAAAAAGACGTACATGCATCAGCCACATCTCGAAAAGCAAAGCAAAAACTTCCTTTTTGCAGGGGGAAAGCGAGTCAGAGCCACGCGTTGGATGGGAGGGCTCTTGACATGCAGGCGTCAGGGATACATATGCGGGGCTGGCCAATCACAAGATCAGATAGGGGAGAAAATCGGACGGATCTTGGAGGGCGTGTAACGCCATGACTTCGTGCAATTGCGCTACTGGCTTAGACCGGCTCAGGGGTCAGTGGCCAGGGGTTAAGGATCAGGGGCTAAGGACCTTCAGCAGGAGAGTTCAGTCGATTTGAGAGTTGGCTAACGATTGACTATCGTGACAAGATGGATGGATGGATGATTCTGTGTGTGCTGTTAGTGGCCGTCCTTGATTCATGCTATGCGATACTCCCAATCAAATATGCCTGCAACAGTCGGTGAAAGCAGAGTTTTTCCAAAACAGAACAAAAGTGACCAGAAAAGTCATGTTGAGCGATGTGATGATATTGACATGTCACTTAGCACAAAGATACAGCTACAACCTCAATCAGACCACTTGCTGCAATAGATCTCGCGATGGACTCAGATGATCACTACGTGCTCGATCGTGGATACCCTCATTGCAAATAGAACATAAGACAAAAAATGCATCATCACAATGCTAACTCTTCTCGGCCCGTTAAGAATTGATGGCTAAGTCGAGATTTGTCACTATAATGCACTGACATTGGACTGTAGGGCTGCTCTGATTGAAGATCCCAGCCGAGTTTGAGCTGGAAATCGTGAATGAGGATCTACTGGGCAGGAGCAGGGGGGGGGAGGGGGGGTGATTTATTAGCGCAATAGCCTACCTGTCTGGTATGCAGATGGCAACAATTTGATTGACTCTTTTGTTTAATGGACGTTTTTGTATACGAAAGATAGGTTATAAGGTTTCGTACCTATTGATCTTGACCGGTTGCCCTGAACAAAGCTATCGATTGGGTTTTTGGTTCTGGTTACTCCTTTATCCAGGGCAGAGTATCTCGAGAGTTTATCAGTTTGCTTAGTCTCTCTCCCTCGCATTTGAGGGGAAAAAAACCATTGGCGGTGATGCCCACCCTTTTACATGCGCATTCCTTAAAAGGGCTGCTCCCGAGCGAAGCTAGTGGCGTCTGCCGACACACTCACAGCGTGCGCGGTGCAGGGGGTTATCTTTTAGTGTCTTCGTCGTGAGTGATTGATGGGTTAATGGGGCAGCAAAGAGAAGAAGGACGGACGGACTATTTGTATGGACTGAGACATGATGGCAGCATGATTGATGTTTGATCTTCACGGATAATCACCGTCGGGGCAAGGGATGAAACGGTTCAGTTCAGTGGATGGCTGATAGCGTCAGGTGAAGGAGGTCGGTGATTGATCTACAGTTGTCTGCCTGTCTTTGTATGTACTTGACCACCATCAGTAACTGTAAGGGATGAATGTGCATCTCGTTAATGGTGATGGTTGCTTTGCCTTTTCATTAATTACCCCGCAGTCAATGTTGAAGACAGTCGGGGCTCGGAATGTATATGCAGGTATGTACAATAAGAGTCTATAGCGGACTGGCCGCTGCGGATTGATGGATCCCTATGCCAAGACGCTGTTTATCAAGCATTGCCTATGTTTGCACAGATGCAGATTTGGCCATTTGTATAGCATCATTTTCTCTCGAGTCCTTCGGCAAACTTATCTGTCATTCGTGGCTGATGATCCGAACGCCATCGGCCTCTGAAGGAAGCCATCGCCAAGGGGGGAAAACGCCAGGTACAGGGCCGGACCGGCAAAAGTAGATCCGATCAGTAAGAGAACAAAAAGCAACGGTTGTGACGAGATGTCAACAGGAATGTGACTCGGTGGTCAACGACACACTGCCAAGTTAGTAGTAATTTAGTAAGCGCAGTACGGATACTGACTCTGGATCTGGACCTGAACCTGAACCCAAGGGTTCGGTTCCATAGCAAGGCGCCATGGCTAAAAGTTAATTGGGATGCGATATCATCAAGAGATAGAAAACAATCCAAAAATGGTATGACGATCAATGGTTTACTAAACACACAGACCAGGCCCCAGATACAACGTGGACGCATTTGGCAGTCGTTAAATCACGATCCTCACCCAGTGTGCTGGGATCTACTGGTGATGTAGGCCTCCATTAACAAAAATGCGTTGGCGTTTGTATTTGTGTTTCCGCTGGCTTCGCTTCTTCAGAACCATGTAACTACGCATGTCACAGGCCAGCTCGTCTTGGCGGTCTCAGATTTCGTTGCTTTTGCCGTTTCCACGAATGTCAATATCAAAAGCGTTTGTTCATGCATTTTTTCGTTTGGCTGACAATGTTTGATGGTGGGTAACCATTTGTTTCGTTTTGTGAGAAACTTTTGGTTGATATTGAATTTCACCTAATGCAGGGTCTGTGAGGTTATTCGTGTGAGCTTAGCCAGGAGAGGACAGCAGAACAGCCACAATTTTACAGGCCGCCAGGTACAGTTCACAGTTGACATGTGGTGGGTGTAGGTGAAACGTTTTGTGCCATTCGAGCGAGATGAAAGTGTCAAAACAGTCAATTGATCAAATCAATGTGTCTTTTTTACTTTGTACGACTGCTCCACGAGACGGGACGAGAGAGCCGAGACTGAAACGACGGTCACGCAAGATTAGTATACAGAGACAACCGCCACTGAGAGGCCTGAGAGAGCGGCCCGTAGTCGTTGTCGATATTAGTTTGGTGAATACTAGAGATTGATGTTTATGCTCAAGGGTAGTTTGTAATATTGATGAGCGGTTAATAAGATGATCTGTAACCGTAACTCTTGGACGAGGGATTTTCACTATGTAATACGAAAGAAGAAGGAAAAGGTCCCTGTAGATCTTTTCATATCACACATTGTGGTACGCGTTCAAAAAAAAAAAATTGGAGAGAGAAAAAAAGATGCAGGGACTGTTGATCCTGTTACTTAACTTTGCCTCCCCCTCAGTTGATGTTTAGTGGACTTTGTTAGTGGCAGGCAGCCCCAGTTTTGCTTCAGACAGGCTGGTTTCATGTCAAACGAGTCGACAGCCAATCGTCAAGCTTGCAACCGCCCAGAGAACTGTTTCGTGTGTTTGATGTTATAGCGCAACCCAATCAATAGCCCTGTCAGTATTTTCCCGAGCGTTTAAAGAGATGCATGATATGCGCGTCCGACTGGTTGAATCAATTGCATTCGAGTTTCTAAATACGCTGACAGATAGACCTGGCCCTTGTTCTATGCAGCTTGGTTGGTGGTTGAAGGTTGAAGGAAGGGCTTATGAGCTTATTATTAGCCATCTATTCGTAGCTGGCGCAAAAGAGGTTCAACGATCCATTTTCTGCCATAAGTTGTATGGATCTGCAGCCAATGAATTTGATCGTCTCTGATCTTCTGCTGCAATGTCGCCTACCACGTAGTAAGAACAAGGAAACATCGATATCAAACCATAGTCCTAGGAGCAGAGTATTAAGGCCCTCATCACTGCCGTTTCATCTTGTGACCTTTTTTTTATTCCATCTACATCATCTTCATCCCATCCCGACTCCACCATCCTTCTCCTCCTCACCTTTCCTTTGGAATTCATTTGTCGATCTTATTGTTTTTTTTCTTTCTTGTTTGCCACGTTTCGACATTCCCGCATACCTCTGGCAGGTATAGATAGACATCATCATATCACACCATACCATCCCTTGGCCAACAATTAATTGAGTACTATTGTACCGATACACAAAAAAGAGGATCTTGACGATTCCCCATCACTACCACTAATAACCTCCCCGCGCTATCGGTTCTTCATCTCCCGGTGCAGGTCCACCAACCACCAAAAAAAGCAACTTCACCCTTCAATACTCTGGCGAGGAGCAAGACTCTCTCCCTTTGTATGCAATCTTAAAATTCCAGTTGAAGCCAACCCTCACGATTAATCAAGAATCAATATTCCTTCCCTTTTTCAGTCAAGCCGGTCTTGATACAAAAGTTGGATTATATAACTCTTGCAATCACCAGCATCATTCACTTGGATCAACATTAATCAATCCGGTCAACCAAGACGTCACGTCACCTACGATCCATACATTTCAAATCATTTCTCATCATTCACTTTCACCACCATTCCGGTTGTCAGGTCCTGCTCCAACGCCTCCCCCACAACCTTCAACTTGGATTACGTTCTTGCCTCAAAAGCTTAAGCCACGAGCAAAGAGAGTAGAAGTAGAACAAAGTCTAAATCGCTTCAGCTTTATTTCCGCTCCGATCCGTTTCGCTTCCCACAGAAACTGTTCTCGGAAAGGTCTCAATTCGCTCATCGCCGTACAATCCAGGGCCTCGATCGCCTTATCCCGTACCCGGCAAAGCAAACAGCAGCAGCTGCACTTAACCGATCGGCTCTACTGAATCTGGACTTTTCATAGACCAAGTGTCTGGTATTTTTTAATTAATATCAGAATCAACATCTCGGAAGACTAGGCTATCCCGCAAACAAAGAAAGCAAAAAAGAAAGGACAACACGAGCACAATCTCGTTGTTTCGGTAAACTGAGACAAACCAAACGGACGCAGCACAGCAACAAGACATTTTTAATATTTGCTACGCCGCATCTGCAACGCAACGCAACGCAACGCGAAGCAACACTAAAAAAACTGTCACTGTTCTGTTCTCTTCTTCCCCTTACGCGGACAGATTGAACAAGCCACAGACCGCTCTCGCTTTGCCACTCAATCTTGGTTCCAAGTCCAAGGGAAAAAAAACTGTCAAGTTTTGCCCTGTGGTATCTGCCTTTCTTTGGTTAGATACAGTACCTGCTGGAACCCATCTTAGCTGAAGGCATCCAACCAAAACATTTATCCTCCGGCCAGACCGCCCATCGCTCAGCTGCCGTCAATTCTCCAACAACTCTTGCCCGCGGACTCTTCCTCTACAGATATCCATCCATTCATTCACTTGGTGGACCTAGCCTACTAGTCTCGAGGCATCTCCGTTCCCCTGCAAAAGCAAAGGCAAAGGCCCAGTAAGTGACCCCTCCCTCTCTAAGCCCACTACCCCTACCCCTTACCCCTGCACGCACCCGACCCGAAAGCGATGGAGCCCAGCTGCCAGCCAGCCAAGCCCAGCCCGCTTGTGGCACTGGAGACTCACTGAAAGTGAACCCCTGTCCACCTCAACCTCAGCGAGCGACGCGGCGCTCAGCCTCTTCAAGACACGCCCCTCCACCCCCAAAAACGTCACTTTAGCTTGGTTACTTACGAAGCCAGTTCAGTTTTAGTTCAGTCTAGCTAGGGTCCCGTCCCAACCTTTAGGTTCTCATCCACTATACCTCACATGAGCCATTCTGTCTCTTGATTGATATATCAAGCCTTACGTCGCCTTCCTTCACCCCTGGCTGGTTTCTTATTCCAGTCACATTCGCTCAAGATATTAATCACCTGCTTTTGCTTTGCATTTGCTTTCACGTCAAAAGGTTCAAGGCCTACCAATCCTTTTTTGGCCTCACATCTTACACTCTGTACCTGTACCTGAACCTTCTCACCCCACCCTCACTTATACACACCTCGTTGCTGTGTGTATATACTCTCATATCCTCCACCTCTCTCAATCTTCTCACCCACATACACATTCACAATGGCTTCCACATCATCACTACGATACCTCACTATGGAGGAGCTTAACAAGAACGCCTTGGAACAATTTGTCTATCAGCCTGTGGGCCGCGATATGATCGCCTACCTCGCCCAAGCTGCTCACAACGTCATCGCCTGCGACTCGACTTTGATGCCTCCCGCTCCCGCCGATCCTCGTCACAACATCCCAACTCCTCCCAGGAGTCCCGAGCCCCGAACTGTCCGATCCGAAGACGGAGCTCTACCTACTCTTGAGGAGTTCATCACTCAGCTCGTCGTCTCCTCCAACGTCCAGGTCCCTACTCTCATGTCCACACTAGTCTACCTTGGCCGCCTCAAGTCCAAGCTACAGCCTATGGCTCGCGGTCTGCGATGTACTGCCCACCGCATCTTCCTCGCTGCTCTCATCCTCTCAGCCAAGTACCTTAACGACAGCTCACCCAAGAACAAGCACTGGGCCAACTACAGCCACATCACCACTGAGTGCTACAACTTTGGCTTCAGCCGCACAGAGGTCAACCTTATGGAGAAGCAGCTTCTCTTCCTTCTCGAGTGGGATCTCCGAATTACTGAGCAGGACCTTTACCGGGATCTCGACGACTTCCTTGAGCCTCTTCGCCACAAGATTGCCGAGCGACATGCCCGCAAGATTCGACACCGCGAGGAGAAGCGACGACAGAAGGAGCTCCATGCCGCCTCCGCCCGATACCCCAGCCCTGCTTCTTCCCGTGGCCACTCCCGCTCTCGAGGATCAACACCCGAGCACGCACGAAACCTCTCTGGACCTGTCACTCCTCCCGGTCTCAGCTACAGCAGCTCTTCTAGCTCTTACGCCTCATCTGTCTCTTCTGGCCGCGCTTACTCACAGGCTACTACTCCCCTGGAGACTTCCGAGGCCGAGCCTTACTACTACTACGAGTCGCAACAGGGCAGCCTCTACGACTCACCTGTGCAGATCGTCCCCGATGTTGACTACCCCAAGGTGCATATGAGTGGACGCATGCTTCCTTACGAGATCACCGCCGATGAGTACCAACAGTACCAGCACTACCAAGACGCCTCGTCCAAGAAGCAGCAGCAGCAGCAGCAGCGCTCAAGACGTGGCATGTGGGGTCGTCTTCTCGGTGGTGGTGTCGCTGTGCGATAAATACCCAACCACAATCGGGCAGTGCGCGCACGCACTTGATACCTGATGCATAGGCATGGAGTTTTACACGGACCAACGTTTGGCATCAATTCACTTTGCACATTTTTTCGCATCGTAAAAAGAAAGCTTGGCAAGGCGTCGGTCGGGTTTGTTTTTTCTCTCTACATCTGCTTTTCCAAGAAAGCCAGATCCACAATGGGATGGTCAATTGCCACCCATCACTATTCCCTTTGTTCTATTATCACTATTGTCGAATTTGCTTGGGTCTTCAAAGTCTTTCAACAGAAAGACCGGCGTTCTTCGGGTTTTGCATGAAAGACAGGAGCCTCCCCGGGGTTAAGGGGGGCGTGTGCATTACAATTGCTGTTACGGGTAAAGGTGGTGTACTGGATGGTTTGGGTTGGATCACGCACTATCAACGTTGTTCGACGGCCTCTACAACGTATCACTTTTACGTTCCATGGATTGGGAAAGGATATAGGATCAAACGGCAAAGGAGTACACTGCCTCGAATGCAGGAGTTGTTATTGTTTTTTAATTGGGAACTTTTTGGGTACAAAGTTTTTTCAGGCGGTGCATACTACAACAATAAGATCAGACAGATAAGATACCTTTTACACTATTCAATACAAATCGGGCGATATGCCGCGATCTACCTCAAAGAATGCCTCTTTTAGCCTTGTGAATTTTACAACTATATTCTTACAACCAACTTGGTAAGATCAAGGATCAAGTCCTGGTAGATCTTACTTTTGCGTATAAAAATAAGCCTTCTTCACTGCCCGAGTTTGTTGCAGGGTTGTTCCTAGGCCAATTGCCATTTTTGGTATGCTGATTCGAGTCTACAGCCAATCATATCACGAAGGAATAACTAAACTGCAAACAACTGAATCCTTTCATTGTCGGTTTCCGTAGAGTCCGACCTCCGTAGGTGTAAGCAGAGGAAATAAACGGAGACATTCAACCATATGCCGGATCAAGAATAATGATGAAATAACACAACACATATCTTCAATGACTCAAAAAAACTTGTTGTCAGGCGGGGCAAGCAGGTGTATGATAAGACCACATACAACGTAGACGGTTGCGTATGCGGGTGGCGGATTGGCGAATGCAAATACGGGGATTCGAGCTTGTTTTATGGAGTTTATCAAAAGAATGTTTACTTGATACGAGGTCAGTGAGCGCATGAGTAGCGTCATGTTTCATTCTTGATTGAAACGTTTTTTATTAAACCCATATTTACTAGTCATGTCAAGATGTATTTTTAGTTTTTTTTTTCCAAATGTAGAATATCGTCATAATCCTACAGTCAGTCTTGATTAATTGAACCCTATTTTAACGGATATATATACGCAAACAATTAATGCGGGGGAAGAGATGGTTGTGAGTGTCATGTCATTGCGGATCCTTCGGAGAGACGAAGAGCGAAACAAGACACGAGACGCGACCGTTGGAGGAGCGAAATGGTGTGCATATGGATTTCTAGTCCAACTCTGCAGCCTCTTTTTTTCGTGCCGTCGGGGCCGAAAAGCGGAATCATCGGAGGATAAATTCTAGAAATGGTGTTTGCGAGAATCCATCTATTGGTTATTTGATAGATCGACATCGTGGCATATGCGTGTGAGATGCCTGAGAGTAAGCCATGTATACGTAACAGTAACAGTGTGGTATTGTGGTATTATCTAAACAGACCCTGAAATCCCACCCCGGCTTACAACAAATTTGGGGCTTAGCCAAGCCATCACTATCTAAACGTAGGCATAATACGCCACTCATTCTTTCTTACTCCCCGTCGACTTCAATATTGCGGTGCCGAAACCCGACAATAGGAATCCGACACCGTAGGCTCAAGCTGCTCAATACCACGCTTATGCTTGATAGAGCCATCGCAAGAGCTGCCCACACGGGATCCAACTTGACGTTTTCTCCGCCGGACGTTACCACGGGATAGAAACACCCAGCCGCAACAGGCACAGCCAGCATATTGTACACAAGGGCCCAAGCAAAGTTGGTGCGAATGCGACGAAACACGACGCGGCTGAGATCCAGGAGCGTGACGACAGCTGTCAGTTGCGATGTTGCGAGGACAAAGGCTGCGCTACTAATGGCCACGTCGCTTCCCGTTCCTATGGCGATGCCTACATCGGCAGTGGTGAGCGCGGGGGAGTCATTGATTCCGTCGCCGACCATGGCGATAGTTGCGCGTTTGGAGGTCGACCCGCTTGCGTGGAGAGAGGCTTGGAGCGATGAGATTTTGGCTGCCTTGTCCGAAGGGAGAACTTCTGCTAGGACATTAGACGATGGAATGCCTACGCGCTGCGCCACCGCGCGGGCTGTCGTAATGTTGTCACCAGACAGCATCCAAACTTGTATACCTCGTGAGATCAATGCTTTGATCACGGGTGCGGTTTCGCGGCGGATGGGATCTGAGATGGAAAGTGCCGCTGCCAGTGTCCAGGCTTCAGCTGTTGATGGTTTTGTAGCGACTAAAGCGACAGACTTGGCCTCGGATTTCCAGGTGTTGAGAAGTGAACAGACATGAGACGAGATAGTAACTGAAAAGTCTCGCATAAGCAATTCGTTGCCAATGACCATGTCGATTTGGCTATCGACACCCTTGAATGAGGCTTTCATGCCTCTCCCAGCCAACTCCTCAAGGTTAGTAATGCCACCAGCCGGGACATCACCGCAGAATGAAACAATCGCCTTGGCTATAGGATGGCTGCTGCTCTCCTCAATAGCTTTGAGCGCGGATAGAAGCGCCTGGCGCTCCTCCTCATTAGAAGATGGAGTGTCCGGAAAGATGACGGATTCGGTAACCTGCGGCTCCCCTCCCTCAGTGAGAGTACCTGTCTTATCAAACACGACGCAATCAATGTTGCTCGCCTTCTCAAACGCCTCACCACCACCTTTGGCAAGAATACCGTGCTTAGCCGCGATACCGCCTCCGACAAAGATGGCCGTGGGCGCTGCGAGAGCAAGGCCACAAGGGCATGCGACAACGAAAACAGCAATAGCAAACTGGAGAGCAAAGACAACCGAGCCACCAGAAGAAGTTACTTCGTGATCTGGGATACCTCCGGAAAATCCAACCACCATCCAGACAATCCAGGTGAGAACAGCAATGAGAGTGATAACAGGCACGAAATATGTAGTCAACAGGTCCGCAATTTGTTCAATAGGGGCTCGTTTTGTCTGTCCCTCTCGAACGACCTGAACGATTTGATCAAGCATTGACTTTCCAGAGGTACCAGTAACACGCATAACAATCGCGGCTGCTTTGTTGATAGTTCCAGCAAAAACCTTTTCTCCTTCCACTTTCTTGATAGGACGTGACTCGCCAGTGAGACTCGACTCATCAAAGTTAGTTTCTCCACTGACGACAATACCATCAGCAGCTGGAGAAGCACCGTGAGGCACGCGAATCAGATCTCCAGAGTCAAGTTGATCGACAGGAACAGTACTAGTTACTTGGTTCCCAGAAGAATCTTTCTCTAGAAGTAGGGCTGTTGTTGGCCGAAGCCTGCCCAGCATCTCAATCGCATCGCCGGTTTTGGACTTGCTGTATGCCTCGATAAGCCTGCCTGCGAGCAGAAACACCGTCAAAAAGACAACAGAGTCAAAGTACATTTCGGCTCCGGATCCATGATGATTGCGGCTAGATGCAGCCGCGGCAATCATCTGTGCGACCGATGATATGTAGGCGATGCTGGTTCCCAACGAAACAAGCATATTCATGCTACCAAATCGGTAGAAACGTTGCATAACGGGCATGCGGCTTCCCGAACGCCACATTGTTCGCACTTCTTTGATTGCTCTGATATGAAACACATCAGCAGCAAAAAAGTATACCGGAGTAGCGAGGATAAAAAGTGCAATATCGAGGCGACTCAGCCCGGAGACCCAAGGTTTCATAAGGTACATCTTTCCATGATTTGAGTCAGGAAGTAAGCTCATATACACTATTCCGAGAACAAAGGTAGGTACAGCAAAGATGAGTGTAAGGATCTCGCGGTACAACAACGCTCTTTGGTGTTTGGCCCTGATAACTCGAGATCGCTCCTCGAGTGTTGGAGGGTGGTAGATAGAAGCTTTGAGTGACTCATCAGCTGCTTCGATGGCACGCAAAATTTGTCTGATGGTAAAAGTAGGAGCATTAGGGGTATATCGAATTTTCAAAATGGGATTTTGAACGGTTGGTTCTTGTAGGATTTGAAGCCGGTTCGGGGCAAGGCTCTTGAGTGTTGTGACAATTCGTGGTGGGCATCTCGAGCAGAATATACCGTCAACGCGGACCTCGACCTCACGCTCATCGACTGATGCTTTGGTGTCTTGCAAGTTGACGACCTTGTCGATTGCAGCTTCGTATCCTAGATCTTCGATGGAATCTACGATCTCTTGAGCCCGGTCTCCATCGGTATATTCGATTGCTGCGCTGTTTGATACGAGATTGACAGAAATTTTCGTGACCCAGGGATATTTCTCGATCTCTTGTGTGATTGTATTGACACAAACAGCACAAGTCATGCCGCCGATAGAGAGTGTCACTCTAGACGACGGAGCGGGAGCTGTATCAGTGACAACACTTTGTAAAGGAAAAGGTGCAGAGCCGCGTCTCGTAGGAGTCTCAGATACGCTTGAAGAGATTCTCACCAGTTGTCGCTTATCATCTGATGGGAAAGACTGCTGCGTATGTCTCTCGAGTCTGCATGCCTCACAGTTCTCGAGGTGAGCTTCACGAGCCCGCTCGAGTGCAAGCTGTGAAACCTGTGGGCGCCAGAACTGAAAGAATGAATCTAGCCAGCCATCGGAGTGTTCTGCAACGCGGCTGCTTTCCCCATCTACTTGTGAGATGTGGTGGAGATCATTTGCAGAGTTTGCAGTGGTGTTGACGCCGCATACATCAAAGCCGGCTTCCTGAAGGACTCTTTGCATGCTGCCCACAGAGGCGAAGGAACTATCTTTGTGCTCGATTGTGACGACAGAAGTGACAAGATTAGGAGAAACCCATAGTACGCAGTCGCCGAATGTATCGTGTAATAGGGAGCGGATCAGGGTGACGCAAGTCGGGCAGTGGAGGTTGCCCAAAAGAAAAGAGGTCGTGACAACAAGTGATAGAGACGACATTTTTGTGGTGTTTGTCATGGTTGATAATATGTGCTGTGTTGCGTCTGTGAAAGGTATTGGGGGTTTGTATATAATATGTTTAGTGAATAGAGTTGTCGCAAGCAAGGCAACTAAGACAGGAAAATGCGAGAGTTTGGTATCAGAAAAACACGGGGGGGATTATATTTAATCTTGGTGAGTAAGGATGAGAAGTTCTGTTTGTCTCGAGAGGCTTCCAGAGCTGATATTTAATATCAAAGGGTCGTGATCAGAAACCGCACAAATGTCGCAAACGATGACTCCATCGTCATGATTGCTTTGTCACTAATTTGGTGCACGGTTAGTGATGCGTATACTCAATAAACTTTGTCTGATTTGGCATTTCAAGACCGACGAGAATCTTTGTATGTATTGTATAATGTATAAAAGTGATGATAAGGGCAAAATGCCTCTACTTGTGAGAAATTCCAAGAATTGTCTTCGAAAGAAGGTCGAGTGCTGCTCCTTCCTTCCCTTCTTTTCCATTCTCGGTGAGAGCAAGGTGAGGCAAAGGACACTAATCCGAATGTGATAAAGCCTAGATGCGCGGTATGTGCTGCCAATCACTAACCGCTGCCTGCGTTAATTGTGCATCGCGCTTCGACTTTAAAATGTGATTAAATTGATTAGTTAAACAGTATGGAAAGGAATATGGAGGATGGACAGGAGCCGAGTACTTGAATACATATTGAGTAGCTATGATAACAGAGAAGTAGGTCCTGTACTCACTGCAAAGCCAAGATGCGGTACGTGACTGGAGCATCTGGGGTCGTCTCGAAGGTAATACATAGTAAAAAAGCCGATCTCTAATCATAGGCTTTAGGTTATAAAAACAAACAACCAAAGAGTCTGGTCCAAAAGCATAAACTCAGTTACTAGTTTTGCCTCTTATGCTTACAACAGTAAATCTTTCCGATACACCGAGGGTCATGACTCCTGAGAATACGAGTTGGAACCCTCTGATTTACATCTTGAAGTGTAAACATATACAAACTTATATGACGAGAAAAACACAGGCTGAATAGTAGGTAGGTAGGTAGTCTGTCAGTCGAAAACAGCGGGAAGCAAACTACCTGTATTTTAGCCAAGACTTTTTGGTGAATCTATTAGCAACGTGGTTGACGAAAAAATGGCCCGACTCCTAAAACACCCTTTCTTTATCAGTCGCACTTTTGCTTGATAAAAGGCGCATGGATCCGTCTCCATCTGTCTCTCCATCAGTCGATGGATCTCCCGACATTTGCGTCCCCCTTCTTACTTTTCGTGCGTGGCCAAAGCTTGATCTATATATGCCCTTGGACGGCTTGACGGATGTCAACGGAAACAGTATTGAATGCCGAGAGACCCCCATGCCGGATATTTCTTATGGATACCAGTATCAGGGCCTGCCACAGGCACCATAACTACTAACTATCCCCCTTTTCGTATCTAGATGTTGCACTCCAGGGACATATACATAGATATGTATGCATATTTACTTGAGGAAAGCAAGCAGCAGCTGCCATCCTGCCATCCTGCCATCGCAACCAGATTGAATAACAGCTGTAAGCGAGAAATGCCTGTTACTCCACGTGTCCAAGCTTTCATCGACTCCAGGAAATTGCGGAGAAGTTCATGACAATCAACATTTCATTACGTACAGTCTCACTTCACCATGTTAGAAGAAGCAAGAAGCGTCGATGGACTGTGGGGGATCTATTCATCTGTGCAGGAATATCTTGGCCTTCGTCTGGGGGAGGGGCGAAATGTCAAGGCCAGAGACGGCTATGAGCGGGTTGTCAGCAACTTGGCTCACTCGTCAGACTGACCCCAATAAGCTTTCCAGCTCTCCAATTCCTTGACCAACCCTCCTATAGGACCTTGTTCCATTGACCTTCCAAGACTTTTCCAAGACTTTTTGCACATGCCCTTTACGGACGATCACTCTCTCAATCTCACTACCTGCCAAGCCTATGACGCCCGCAGGCGAATTGTACCGTCCATCTGGTCTTGTGCTGTGATTTCAAGCATTTCCTTCTTTTTGCAGCACCATCAATAGCAGGCTGCCAGAATCTCACTCATTGAGATGAACTGCTCCGGGGAGGCAAATGATAGCGCCAGTGCACGATTGCATAATTCCCCCAATCGGTTGAAGCAATGACGAGTCAAGTAACCTTGCTCCCCTACTTTATTCTGCGGACACAAGTGGATATTCAAACGTAATAACTCAATCTTTCGCGGGGTGGAAGAGCGGCTTTTAAACAAATATCAGTCGCACCTCTGCTCTGCACTCCGTGTCGGTATGCTTTACCGTGATGGCCGTTAGGGTTGGGGTCCGTGTTACTTGTTGGATGCAGTGTTATGCGGACGTTGGACCAAAGCTGGATAAGCCTCAACATCCATGATGATCCATCTGGCCACGTTCAAATATGCCTCGGATGCATGAGACACTGCAGTAGACAAATCCTTAGGACTGTGCAGGTTGCAGGCTGGTTGGAGTCATTGGTACTCACAACCAAGTAAGCCATGGACCAACAGCCCCCATCTGTTGACATAAGGCGTGCTATTTGCTTCCGAATTAAGTTCTGGAACCTTTTGGAGACAGGCTACTCCAACTGGACAGGCCCTCACTGCGCTTCACCGGCCACCTTTACAGTAGTTTATTTCGGGCGGAGCCTTGATCCGGTTACGCTGAATCGCCTCATGTGGTTATTGTTTGGATGATCATGTCCGGTTATCTCCAAACGCTGCACGCGCATAGGCAGACATCATCCTTTGGGTAATTGCCATACCTGCGAAAGGGTCGATTTGCGTGGGCGTTCTGACATCAAAACCACGAGATGGCTCCGAGACAATGGTCGACATGGGGTTTCGATGGAACGTAGTAGTCATGCGCGTGAGTAATGATCCAAAACGCGGTCGGCCAAGAAGACGGGGTACAGGATATCCACAAGATGGACTCCAGCATTCTCTCTGTTGTTCAAGCTGTTACCTAACAAAAAGAATTAGCCGCCAGGCCAAATGGTGAGATCAATCCAAGCAATACTAATTTCCGCTACGGTAAGAAGCAGAAACGACGCAGTACGTACCGGGATCTTGGTTTAGACTCAGAGCTCCACCCCCAGGGGCTATAGGGGTAGGTAGGCGGGCCTTGCACGCATAGCAAGACCCCGACTTGATGCCTCGAACGCTGAGGCCCTCAGTACCTCAAGTTTAGGTTGGAAAGACAACCGTGAGTGCGGCAAGCCTTTAATTACAGTACTGCACATATTGCCACGATATGGCGTTGGCAGTACAAGTAACTTGGTATTTCTGTTAGTCAGCCTTTGTCCAAGGCACCGCTAGTCGTGTATTGTACCACGCGATGCCTCCAGTAATTTCAGACGCCATCGCATTTCTCGTCAATTGGCAAAATTGATCTGCCATAACCAAGACCTCTATTTCCATCGGTAGCCAGTGAGATCTCTTTTTCGGCGTCTTATCTCATGGAAAAGATAGAGAATATGCGTATGGGGAACCGACCGAGTCTCCGCACTGCGTTATCAAGTCTTGGTATTTCGTAAAACATGCAACCTTTTTGCATGGACCAGAAGCTTGGCCAGATAACACAAACATTCGTCCCCGTCTGTGCAGTTTTCATATCTGAAGCGTGGGGCTTGTTCCCCGTAATGTATGGTACTCTGTCGTGTGTGGCGCCTTGGCTTTGGGTGAATGTACAACATGTTATCGGCTGTGAGACTGCCTCAAGGTCTTGGCTTTCTTGGCTCTTCGTCTCCAACGACTCGCCTGCCTGCATTCCCTGTTGGCATCGTCGCCTCCTCGGGCAAATCCCAATCCTCAATCAACAGGTGCTCTTGGGTTTTCTCCACAATGTCAGCCAACGAGTGATTCCCCATCGGTCTACCCGGGCACCCCAGGTTATCAATACCAAGGAGTTGATGCTTGTCCTCTTGGCACTGAAGAGAGAATTTCGTAACGCTCACCTTCTCTTCTCAGCCAGGCCAAGCCTCAAGCGTTTCCCTCCCGTCTGTTCAAGCTGGCTTGGCGATGGGGTGCACCATGAGCTATAAATGATGGGAAGCCCTCTTGGAATTTCGCTCAGGTTCCCATTATCCGTTCTTGCCTCCTCTTTCACCCATAGACCAGCTCTTTAGCAAACCTCTTGCCGTTCGTATTTAAACAAAGTCAGGCCAAGCTTGCTTCTGTTGCAATGGCTACCAAAGAAGCCAAGGGGATGCCTGAGGAGCACCCGGTTCAGGTGCCCACCAACTCGAGCAGTGATCTTCCTCGCGGCTCTATCATGGAGGAGGAGACCATCAAGAGGCCTTGGTACCATGGCTTTAAGCAGCCTGGCCACGCTCTTCAGATCATCACCGCCGCCGTTCTTGCCATCGCTATTGGTGTAGTTGTCGCTACCCAGGTTGATGAGATCCCTGAGACTGCCATCACACTCCTGGGTATTATTGGTAACCTCTGGTTGAGAGCCCTCAAGGCAGTCGGTAAGTCCACATAGACAACTTGTGTTGCTGGAGAATCGTGACTGACAATTAGCCAGTCCTTCCACTGATCGTCTGTTCCATGTTGCTTGCTGTCACCAGACTTCGACAAATGTCTAACGGAGGTTCGCTGCTTGCAAAATGGACTGTGGGATACTACATCATCACCACCCTCCTTTCCATCACGGTCTCTTGTATCATGCAGGGTCTTGTCTGGTCCAAGCAATACACCGTGGTCGATAACACGCCTTTGGATGAGAATGACAAGTCTCTTCCCAATACCGAAGAGCGCCCAGTCGCTATTGTCGTCCGAGACATGTTCTACTCTTTCATTCCCGCAAACATCGTGGCTGCCTTGGCGAACGATGAGCTTCTCGCCATCATCATTGTTGCCATTATTGTTGGATATCTCATCGAGTCCCCTCATTCGCCCATCATCCGAGTCGCCGAAGAGATCGAGCGCATGATCACCAAAGTCATCAACTTCCTCATTGCAGTGGCTCCCATTGGTGTCTTCTTCCTTATTCTGCCCAACTTGATGAAGCTCGACATTGGTGAGATCGGCTCAAACTTGGGTATTCTCATTGGCGCCACCTTGTCCACCATGCTCATCCACATCTTGGTCGTTGTGCCCATCATCTTCTTCGCCTTCACTCGAATGAACGCCTATTCCTATTGGATCAAGATCTCCCCGGCTTGGATCACGGCTTGGGGATCGGCTTCATCTGCTGCCACTCTTTCGGTCACCCTTCGATGCGCCAAGGAGCGTGGTATCCCTGCCATCATCTACAAGTTTGCTTGTCCCCTTGGTTGCCTGATTAACATGGACGGTACTGCCATCTACCTCCCTGCTGCGTGTGTTTTCCTGGCCTCAACCCAAGGCATAACCCTGGCACCCACCGCATATGTCATTGTTGCTCTTCTGTCGACCTTGGCTTCGATTGGTGTCTCTCCCATCCCCTCTGCTTCGCTCGTACTCCTGATCATGATTGCCCGCTCGGTCAACGTTGAGATCACTGGAATGTACGCTGTCATTGTCGCCATCGACTGGCTCCTCGACCGTTTCCGTACTGCGATCAACGTTTCTGGCGATTTGTTCGCTGTCATGATCATTTACAAGCAGACCGGAATCGAGGATCCCCTAGAGGTTATCGAGCAGACCGCCCAGGAGACTGATGCGGCAGAGAAGGATGCGGCCAACCGGGTCTAAGTTTGGACCAGACAGGCTTGCTGAATGAAGGATGAACAATTTATAGCCGGCGTTGTTGCTTTTGAAATACCATATCGTATATAGTTGAAGAGCTGAATTGATCACTGTCTTCAAGACAAACAATAAGTTTCCAAATTATCGGTTTTGTGACTCATTTCGTTGACATCTTGTCCGAAGCAGGTGAATGTGATGACTCGTTTAAGCCAAGAATGTCTGACAGGGAAGCCGCTGATGGGTAGAAAGCTTGGCCTTTTGATCTCTTGGAAAACGGCCAGGTTCAGTCCATTGTGTGGGGAAGTCTCTTGGCAGAGGAATAATTGAATGCGAATCAATAAAAACATCTTGAGAAGCGAAAGATGAACGTCTTGGTATCTTTATAACGCATTTTTATGCGCTACAGTGTCTTGGGGCAACATCGCGGCGCTGAAGAAATAGGCAAGAATAAGAATGGTGAAGATGGGGGGATGAACAAGAACAAAAGAGTTAGACGAAGCATTTCTTGGCGCAAGGGTCCTTCCTGCCTACTTATACAGTGAATGAGAGCGTGTAAGAAGATAATGCCTGTAGTCTAATCTAAAACAGGTAGGTACGTAGGTGACCACTCTTATCAGTTTCCTCCAGCCACTTCTAGACCCTCAAAGGCCAGAGGCACCCGACACCTTCCACGTAGCGCCTACCCAGGAGGCACCTACCCCATTCGCAAAGATACAATACATCAGCACGTGATGCTAGATGATTACAAGTGCTGGTATAATAGTAAAAGAACATAGATTCGACTTTACCAAGGGCTTATCTGTCGATCAAAGAAGCCCAGGCTTTTCAAGGCCGATATAGCCTTTGGAATGCTATATTCTCCAATATCCTTGACCCATTCAAATTCGAGATACCGTTGCCGCCTGCGGCCAACTGCTTATCGTACTTTCCCATCGCCATCTCAGTCAGAAAAGGTCCAAGTCGTTCGGTTGGACTGTGCATAGAATGAAGCATCGTCCGTATAATCGGTCCAAGAACTAGATCCAGCGCATTATATACCATACCAGGGTTGGGAATGTGCGGTTTGATCGCGTCGTGATTGGCAGCGTCTACATGACAAGGACGTACGGTCTCGACGTGAAACTTTGGTGTGCGCAGCTCAGATAGTTTCCTCTCAGCTTCTCCCTTTACACGCCCGAATAGTGACGTGAATGGTCCTGGGCTTGTGGTCGCACCGTAACCAGAGACGTAGATGAAGCGGAAGGGCTCCTCAGTAGGCGACAGGGTAGAGAGAGCCTCAGCAGCAGCGAGAGGGAAGTCTCTAGTGATGGTGACATATTCTCTGTTGCATACTGTCAGCAAATGTTGTACTCTTCGACGTAAGTGACATGGCGCAGACGGACTCTTTTGTCACCTTGAGTTGGCTGATCCCCAATGCCCATACTACCCCGTTTGCGCCTTGCAACTGGTTAAGAACTTGAGGCTCGTACTTTTCAAAGTCTTTGTGAATTATCGTATTGACTCTTGAATCTTTCTCCGCCAAAGGTACTGGTCTTCTGCTCAAGATAGAGATCTTGGTGATCTCCTTCGATTTGAGCATAGCATCTAGAACGCTGGAGCCAACAAGGCCTGTAGCACCAGTGAGAATGAGATGCATTGTTATTTGAGTGAAGTCGAACTGGTAGCTCAATGATAAGTCGGAGGGGAGAATAAATATAAGCTTTGTGTGTCAAGGTCCAGGCTCGGTATTGGTAGCTTTGGGATTATATACTGCAACAAACTCCGCCATGAGCGGACTACAGAACCCCGACAATTTGTCTCAGTATAGACTCACTTATTAGCGTTACAATAAGCGGGTTCGAATACACGCAAGATTGAGGAATATTATCTATCTCCATGACGGATTCCGGACTTAACAATTACTAAATCCGATCTTGTGTATAACTTGTAGAGATTAAGTCATTTACTTTCAGATAAATGCATTTATCCCATCAAAGAATCACTGAATGCAGTTCAAGTGTACTTTTATGTAAAGGCAAGTAAATATTGAATCGGAAGCAATGTCTATAAGCAAAATACAAATCGCTATCGAGGTATATGTGTGCTACCAGTATCAAACGCCATGCTACATCGTTGTCTACAGTCTAATTTTTGTTCAAACGGAACCATACTCATTGAAGATGTTTTGAGAAAATCACTTGGTTTGAGCGAAGTTGTTGTTGTTGGCAATTCGGTTCGGTGTGCCACGGCGCGAACCAGAAACCTTGTTGTTGGTGGCATACTTCTTAATGAAGTTTGTCGTCGATTTGACCCCAACAATGCCGTAAACTGACTGGGCGTAAAGCACAAGGCCAGCGACGTGAGGGCAGGCCATGGATGTACCATCCAGGATGTAGGTGCCGCTGTCGCTCAGCCACGAGGCAGAAACGATATCGACACCGGGGGCCAAGATGTCAACCGAGGAACCGTAGTTGGACCAGTCGGGAATCTTCCATTTGTTGTCAATGGCTCCAACGGTGATGGCCTGAGGGGCAGAAGAAGGGGATGTCAGACTGGCGGATTTGCCTTGGTTGCCAGCAGCGACAACGATGATAACACCAGCCTTGGCGGCATTCTTGATGATATCATTGAGAGCGCCAGAGACGCCATTAACACCGAGAGACAGGTTGATAACGGAAAACTCTTGTCGCTTTTTCTTGATGATGTCGTTGACAGCCCACTCAATACCGGTCATGATGACTGAGAGATCGGCCGAGTCGCCTTGGAAGACCTTGACAGAGATGATCTTGGCCTTCTTAGCGACGCCATAGGTCTTACCGGCGAGGATTCCAGCGACGTGAGTACCGTGGCCGAGACGGTCAGTGAAATCTCTCCTGAAAGCTGTCCAGCCGTTCTTGGCACGGCCCTGGAACTCCTTGTGGGTGGCGCGCACGCCACTATCAACGAGGTAGGCGTACGATGAGGAACCGCTCGACTTGTGGTAGTAGTAGTTGTTGTAACCTTTCTTACGGTGCGAGATAGTTCCGAGTCCCCATGTGCCGGGTGTCTGGTTGACCTCATCCCTCTTCTCAAGGGCTTCGTTGTCATCATCCCCATCGCTAGGTTGTTCATCTTGACCGGCTTCTGTTGAGGGCTGCGCGGGCTGTTCTTGTCGCTTGCTTGGTCTCCATGTCAACTGAACTCGGCGATCAGGCTCTACGTGAGCCACCTATTCAAATTGTTAGAGATATATCCTCACTCTCATGGTTAATGACTCTTACAGCTGAGCTCTTCTTGATCTCCTTTATTGTTTCAGGATCAAAAGTACCAGCGTAGCCTCGAAAGCCGGCTTCGGTCTCAAATGTCTTCTCAACACCGTTATCGCTATCACGCTTTTCGAGACCACGTTTTTCGAGACTCCGTTTATGAACGTCGCCAACCCATTTCATGTGAGCCTTAATTGTGGGTGGCCCAATCTCAGACTTTAGTGTGATGATGTAGCTGTCGGGGATAGCACTGTCAACGCCCTCTGACGTTGTGAGAGCTGCTAGAGCGCAACCAAAGAGCGTGGTCGCAATAACTGCGAAGGTCTTGAGTTGAACCATTGATCAAATATATGTTATAAGGAGAGACAAGAGTTGGTAAAAGAGATCCCTGGATATAAATGAGAGTGTTGGTTTGGAGAAGAAGGACCAGGTTCCAATCCGGATGTTCTCGTTTTAGACTTAAGTACGAACCAGGAATATCGTTAGAAGCCTTTTGTTCGGTAGGTATGTAGTCATAAAGCTTCCAGCGGCAAACCGTACGAGACCCTGAAGAGGCTTCGATATGGATGGCCGTTCCAAATTTTAGCAAGCGCCTCATCGTAACCGAATACCTAGTAGTCCGCCACGCTGATGCAGGAACAGTGTATTCCAAAGGTTAGAAACTGAATAACTCCGCGGGTCATAGCTCTAGTCAGGAATTAGAGAACAAAGGACTATGCATGGCTGGCTTGTCAAGCTCAGTTAGGGTTAGCAAGCACATTCCTGTATGTACGGAATTGGGCAGCCGATGCTAGTCTAATTGATGGATCGTTTGGTGGCGTCCCAGTTTTCCAGGGACCGAGTCCTTGCCCGAGTCGAATCGCGTGGTCTTTGAGTTGTCAACTATTCGAGAGCAAGCTCAATAAGTTGAGTGGCCAATGAGGTTAGAGTGTGTGACCCGGAAATGGTATAAGTCCAAGTTAGAGTTCACATCCTCATGGTCTGGTCCTGATAGATTTGAGCCGCATTCCTTCTTACAATGACAGAGTCATTCAAAATTCTCCGACAAGTTTACTAAATGATCCAGGATTGTGTTTCCCAGCATGGTTGAAAGCTAGTAACTGACGATGCCGATATTTCACGGGGCTTCAAATAAGATAACCGGCAGGCGTCTACTGACTGACAGCCGCCAAGCTGTTATTCCAATTTTCGGGAATTCCCGTATGGCCAGGGTTTTGTTTAACTGTATATAGTTAGAGAATTGGTGTTGGAATTTACAACTTTCCATCATAGTTCGCCGCTTGCGCAATGAGAATGTCTGTCGGCGAATATCCAGTTCCTGGTAGCTTGTTCGTTACAGATTCCGGTCTCAAATTCCCAATCGCTCATGAAACCGAGCAGCGAGTTTCACAATATCTTCTTTGGATAGTCGGGCGTGTAGCCTGTTAGGTCAGAACATGGTCACAGCAGCAATTTTCCAGGCTTGCCTCTGCAGTATATTACACTCACGGCAGCACTCTATTCACCTCGATGTGCTATGACAAGATCTAGAATTACGCACGAAGCTCATATCGTTTATCCTGTGGTAGTAGTGTATCATTTATTTCGATCGTGGGCGCAGTAGTAGATTTGCATGTTTGCGGAGATAACAAGGTTCGCTAGCCGGTCTGCTCTAGGTTGTCCTTGGCATACCTGATAACGAAGGCTTCGTCTGGGGATGACTGAATTATGTTTCAGGGCCAATAGAGTATGTGCTCTTTCCAACCAACTGAGTCAATAGAGTAACTGCCAAGCTACATACATGACAAACGTGATATTCGCGGCAGGCAAAAATACCAAGGCCTTCACAGGAATTCAGTTGTGCGTATAGTAGATAGAAAGCACAACACCCTCATCTCTATTATCTGTTTGCTGTCCTTATAGCGTCATGCTAGGGCCAGCAGTCGAGCCTCTTGACGGGCGTAACTGGTCTAGATTGCCATCATCAAGAAACCTTCTTCAGACTTTTGGCATCTCAAGGCATAGCCTTGGCACGCTTCCCAACACAGTGGTGTCTTTTATACTGGAATGGGGCAACTGTACTGACTCTTTTACAGCGAGTCATCATGTACTCGACTTGGGCGATGTTTGCTTTGAAATTCAGGTCTTATCGAAAGCTCCTGGTTATACACAGCTGTCTTGGCCTCGACTTTATGGTTAACAAATTGCTTTTGACATATGTGAATCGTACGTGGTTGAAATTCGCAACAATCGGGCAGCTTCAAACAAGAGTTAAACAGTCAACCTGCTTGGGTAGAGGGGCAGAGATAGAGGCTATGCCCCCAACAATTCTTATCCACGAAGCCTGTTTTTTATGAGATATTGCAAATCCTTTTAGATCTTTTAAACATCAAGAGATAAGATATATATAAAAAACTCGTTGTGTTTCAGTTGACTTTCCTCTCCACAGCCTAAACCGTGTTCAGCTCCTATAGTATGTTTATGTTTCCTATCGGGCATTTATACTTTCTACATATCGCTTCAGCTCCCTAGGCTTGTACATCCTGAATGCTATACGAATTTCGAAACTCTACAGATAGCAAGTATACTGATTGCAACGCAAAACAACGTAACATTAGGCTTCTGATATCGATCACTTACTCCTAGACCGTACAAGAGCGCCCGGAAATAGTACCTGGAACTTTACAACCACACAATACTAAACAAACCAACATGATTGGCTTCTTATTACCTCTAATTTACGGTTTTGTCTCCGATGCTGAATAAGTCAAGGGCGGCAAAAATAGCGATTGCGACACCGCCGAGTGCCGGTCGGACCCTCGGGGGACCCTAGAGGGAAGGAAAAAAGTCAACGGCAGGAGCATCGGGATTTCGGGGTCTCCATGGAGGGGCCAGACTTTGATGTGGGGAAGTTACCAAAATAATGGCCAAACAAAGGCAGGAACCGTGGTGTCAATTGCCCCTGCCCTTTTTTTGTCATGCAGCTTTCCCATCTTGCGACATCGATGTCCTTTCCGAAGTCGGCCTAGTTCAATTGCGTGATTCTGTCAAAGCATCAACAATTCTCAATTCTGTCAAGTCAAACGGCAACAAAGAACAAATTGGCGCAATGGAGTTCGCTATCATTACCGCTGTCCCGTTGAGTCGCCTCCTGGAGGGTTGTACTTTTTATTCTACTCCGCCGCTCGTTCTTTTCCCTCCTCCCACTCTCTCTTCACTTTGAGCTGAAAGCATCTCAACTCACAGGACTCTTACCCTCAAGATGCCTCACCAAGAGTCGGCCCCCGTGGCCAAGACCAACTCTGCTGACTTCACCAAGTTGTCGTCTAGCCTCCCCTTTGGCCAGCAGGTTTCTCTTTCTTCCATCTCCGGTCCGACATATGTGACTGCCCAGCTTCTTGTCCAGCAGATCGCATACAAGTTGTCCGACAAGATCTTCTCTTACTCTCCCGAGACCTTCGACCTCGATATCGCACTCAAGCAATGGGCCTCCCAGAACGAGAAGAACATCCACGGATACTCCACTGAGGTTCTGCCCCTCCAGACCCGAGTCGGTGCTGGTGCGCTCGCCCTGGGTTACATCTTCTCTCCCGACTTCGATGTCACCAAGCGCCACATCCCCCAGTCTCTGGTTGCTCCCTCGGGCAGCCTTCAGCAACTTCGCGGCACTCTCGACCAGCTCTCCCTCCTCTATGGCGTCTCCAGCCCCTTTGTTGCCCACATTGCCGCTCTCGACTACTCTGACAGCAAGGGATTGATCTCCAACTACGATGTTGCTCTTCGCCTTGCTGAGGACCTTGGCCTTGGTCTTGTTGCCAGCACCTCTACCTATGAGGCTCAGCATATGTCCATCTTTGCGACTCTCCTGGCTACTCTCCTTCCCACTCTTCACATCTACGATGGTGTCCGCGTTGCCCGCGAGACTCTTCGTGTTGTTGATGCTTTGAGCGAGAACGGTGTTGCTGACCTGTACAGCAAGCTCTCTACTGAGGCTGGCAAGCTCAACACCCGCCTTGACACTGCCGGTAAAGTTGTCGAGCTTCTCAAGCTTTTCAACGATGAGCTCGGCACCGTTTACCAGCCTTTCGAGTACCACGGCCACGAGTCTCCTGATGTCGTTCTCGTTGCCTTTGGCAGCGTCGAGTCTCAGGTCTCCAAGGAGGTCCTGGCCAAGCTCTCCGTTGATGGAGCCAAGGTTGGCGTGATCAATGTCCGAATCTACCGACCTTTCATTGAGGAGGCTTTCCTCAACGCTATCCCTTCCTCTACCCGCACCATCGCCGTTCTTGGCCAGGTCAAGGATGAGCTTGCTGTCGAAGACGAGGCTACCCAGTCTGCTCTCTACAGCGATGTTCTGACCGCTGTTGCTTTCTCCGGCAAGTTTGCCAACGAGCCTGAGGTTCTTGACATCAAGTACACCCCTGCTCAGTCTTTCACTCCTCAGGGTCTAGTTGGCACTCTGCACAAGATCTTCAACAACGATGGCGAGGCCAAGAAGCTGCCTTCTCTCGTCCAGGCTCAGCAGTTCACCTTCTGGGACCTCGACAGCTCTCCCGCTCTCAACTCCCCTAGTGTGATCGGCAGCCTCCTCTCCCAGGAGTCTACCTCTAACGTCTATGTCAACGAGATCTTCGACAACCTTACCCAAGGTGGTGTTGTCCGCAGTGATCTGCGATCCTCCAAGAAGGCTCTCGAGGCTCCTTACGACATTGACGATGCCGATACCATCGTTATTGGCGATGAGAACATTCTCAAGGAGATCGATGTCCTCAAGGGTCTGGCTGATGGCGGCAAGGTCATTGTCAAGCTGTCCAACTTCAAGGACGATGAGGTTGAGAAGCGTCTTCCTGTTGCTTTCCGAAAGGGTCTCCAGGAGAAGTCCGCTCAGCTTTTCATCCTTGACTCTACCTACTCTCCTGCTTTTGAGAAGGATCCTCTCTTCACCAAGCTCCTCCTTGAGCTGTCTTTCTTGAAGGTTGCTCTTCCTGACTACACCCCTGAGAAGATTGCCAAGCACATCCTCGCCGAGGGTCATCCTCCTACTCTGGAGGAGGCCATCGATGCTGTCGGTCTCTGCCTCCGCCCGTTCGAGGTCCCTGCCACCTGGGCCGAGGTCGATGCTGACTTTGCTGACCCCAACCTTCCCGCCACCATCCAGTCCAACAGCTTCGTTGTCCACAGCAAGGAGGAGGCTGAGGAGACATTCGAGCTCCGTGACTGGCAGGCCGCTGCCAAGTCCCTCGCTTTCAAGGAGGCTTATGGCACCAAGAACGTTCTGCGACCCGAGTTGGCTGTCAAGACTTCCACCATCACTGTTAAGGAGAACCGCCGTCTCACTCCTCAGGATTATGACCGCAACATCTTCCACATTGAGTTCGATCTCGGCAACTCTGGTCTTACTTACAAGATCGGTGAGGCTCTGGGCATCCACGCTGAGAATGACGAGGAGGAAGTCAGCCAGTTCATCGAGTTCTACGGCATTAACCCTGCCGAGCTGGTCCAGGTTCCTGCTCGTGAGGATTCTAGCCTTCTCGAGACCCGTACCGTCTTCCAGGCTCTCATTCAGAACGTTGATATTCTTGGCAAGCCTCCCAAGCGCTTCTATGAGGCCCTTGCTGAGTTTGCCACTGATGAGACTGAGAAGCAGAAGCTTGAGGCTCTTGCCAGTCCTACTGGTGCCGAGGAACTGAAGCGTCGTACCGAGGTTGACACCGCTACCTACGTCGATATCCTTGAGGAGTTCAAGTCTGCTCGCCCCAGCTTCCAGGAGCTTATCAAGATTGTCAGCCCCGCGAAGCGCCGAGAGTACTCTATCGCCTCTGCCCAGGCTGTCACCCCCAACTCGGTGTCTCTGATGATTGTCGTTGTCGACTGGGTTGACCCTCGTGGCCGCACCCGATACGGACATGCTACCCATTACCTCAGCCGTCTGCCGGTCGGCGCCAAGGTCACTGCCTCTGTCAAGCCTTCCGTCATGAAGCTGCCTACCAAGGACACTGCTCCTCTTATCATGGCTGGTCTCGGAACGGGTCTCGCTCCCTTCCGTGCCTTTGTCCAGTACCGTGCTATGCAGAAGGCTCAGGGCAAGGAGATCGGTTCCATCCTTCTGTACCTTGGTTCTCGTCACCAGCGTGAGGAGTACCTCTATGGTGAGGAATGGGAGGCCTACTTGGCTGCCGGTGTTGTCACTCTCATCGGTTCTGCCTTCTCTCGTGACCAGCCTCAGAAGATCTACATCCAGGACCGTATGCGCCAGACTCTCAAGGAGATTGCCAAGGCCTACGTTCAGGATGAAGGCAGCTTCTACCTGTGTGGTCCTACCTGGCCTGTACCTGACGTGACCAAGGTTCTCGAGGAGGCTATTGCCCACGAGGCCAAGGCTGCCGGCAAGAAGATTGATCCCCGCAAGGAGATTGAGAAGCTTAAGGAGGAGGGACGATACGTCCTTGAGGTTTACTAGACGATGTGTCTTCTTATGATTAATGTCCAAAATGGTGCTTAGTAGTATAGAAAGCATTGAAGCGTTTGAATACAACCGAACATTTGGCTGTTCATGTTATATCTATTCATCCATGAGATATTTGGTGACTCGTATTGCATACAGTCTTGTCATATAAGCAACCTATCAGCATGAGAAACTCTATCAACTATAACCACGATTTCGATACGTCCTCTCTTCCTGGTCACACTCCACCTATTGCCAATATGAAGACGTATGCCCATATCGTCAATACCTCGTGCCTGAGGACTCACTCATACCGTCAGGCCAGACTCATATCTCCCTTGATGACCGGGGATTGGATCTTTACACGCGCGACTACCGGTAAAACTTCAAATTGTTATCCGCCTTAACAATATTCACAAGATGCTGCCCAACGCCAAATATCATCTCATTTTGCGGGAGTGGTCTAGACCTCCAGATCGCTTCAGCGAAAAAGCAAATATCAGCACAATGAAACCGACTAGTGACCAACGAAAGTGAGTTTTCCGCACTTCTCCGGCGCGGCCAGAGCAAATCTGGAAACCCGAGATTTGAATTTCCTTTTTGTTCTGATCCCAAATGTCCCCCTCCATCCAAGCGAGGATTGCCGATCGCTTTGGGCATCAACCCTAGACCTAGGTGGCTTTTTACTCGTGTTGAGCCTCAGCCCAATCTAGTGAATGCCCAATATCTGTTCACGTGTAGGACTTTTGGAAATAAAGGGGTTTCTCAGGCCTAAACTCTATGAAAAATAAGCCACTCAGCGGAAATTATTAGGTTGGGGTTGTGAAAAGCCCGACAGCATGGGTGCGATACGAAAGGAGCCATCCGAAGCTGAGAGGCTGGAGAGGCTGTAGGTTGCACTGTCAGGTCGATCCGTTTTTAGGGTTTCAGCGACCGGTGAAGGAGATTGAGATATACCGATGATAGCCTTTTTTGCAGGTTGATTAAGCTTCCGGTATATATGTGATGATACCATATCGACTATAGCCCAGGAGCGCTATAAGCGAATCTGGAAAGCCGACGGCATAGAGCTGGTCCCCAGCAATGGAGAAGCTCCGAACATCGTCTGTTTGGCTGAGACGATGCACGTGCTATTATGGACATGCATAACGGAGATAAAGTATGTGATCAATCAACTGCAAGTTCTATCTAGAACTCCGCAGTGGCACATCGTGTTCGATCCTAGATGCTGTGCAGGGACATCTTTACCGAAGCAGCGGAGAGTAGGCAAAGAACGACAGTGACCGGGTTCGGGAGGGAGACTGCTTGTAGTCGGATGAAACGGCAAAAAGAGACAAAAGGACAAGTTACATGCCCCGTACTGGAATCGAACCAGTGATCTTATCATTACTAGTGATACGCTTTACCACTGAGCCAACGGGGCTTCTTCGAACTTATTAAAGAGACTTCTGCTCTTTGAAATAATGTTTCCAATGGACAGAGGAAGAGCTTGAGTTTAACATAGAGGGACAGCGTGGAATGTCTATTTGATAGATCGGTCCTGTGGATAAGCACCTACAATGCGGGATGAGCATGTCTGAAGTTAGGAGATATGGGCTGAGAAAGTTGGATGAAGAAAGTATTGCCCAAACGGCTAATCCTGAGCCAACCGAACATATCCATTTGTCCCTCATACTACAGAGTACCACAGGTTGAAGTCGTGGATTCCTAGGAAGTTATTGCTGCCACGGAAATTACACAGCACATAGTAATGTCAAAAGTTACAAAATCAATGTGGTTAATTCTCAATCAGTTACTTTAATCAGCGCTTCGCTTCCAGAAGATAAAGAGCTTTGATCTGATTAGATGACTTACTTGAGCCTGAGATATCCATTGAGCTATCTGCAGGGTATGGAGCGAGCATTGCACAGCATTACACATGACAACAACAATGCACTTGACGGTTTGAAAAAAAGAACAATCTGAGCACTGAGCTATTGAGAGCAATGGACATATAAAAATTGGTGCAAACAGCAAAAGGTAACTCCCCCGGGAAGGCTCGAACTTCCGATCTCCCGATTGTCTATGAATAACAGTCGGACGCTTTAGCCAACTAAGCCACAGGGGACAGGTTAATTGATGGTAGTGCGTATCCTATTGGTGTTTATGTCGTGACAGTTGTGCAACTCTCAGACCAACCATCCTCTGATTACACTCAACTGTAGACAACAGTATGCTCAACTCAGTTATTAGTTGCCGTTGCTCAACCTTATTTTTATTATTATTATATATTTTGTAAGTGCCTTTATCTGTAATGCTTGACAGTCAAGTTGAGTGTGTTTTCCCAACAAGTCCACACTAAACTATTCCCCTGCAAAGAGCCTTGTCCACTATCTTGAATGGACGACTTACCCTATGCCTTGTCATTCATGATCCAGAAGTATCGTGCTTGTCCTTTTAAGTACCTGGCACCGTATTCTATACCGTACGCATGGAATGCAATTACGATTCCTTCATCGATCTTAAACAATCAAGATCGAATCGTATCATAATCTGAAATGCGAAAGGGAGGGCCCGATCATCGGAGACCACTTCTCGTATCTCGACGAATGTTTACGAGACGAATAGTCGTTTTCTTTCAACCATATGACCAACGAACACCTGAAAAAGAAAACATTACCGGCGCCCCTTCTCTTGGCCTTTTCCTTCCATCCGTTTCGTCAATCGAGAAGGAAAAAGCAATGTTTAGTGTAGTTTACCCTCATCTCTTCCCCAAAGATGTGGGAACGGTAAACGTAAGGTCCGATGGAGCTACTACGAGAAACTGGAAAAGACAAGATCTCATCTCATCGGACCAAGTTTCGAATGCAGATTTTCCCACCGTATCGTCCTTGACCGACTGGTTGGGATACGACGTCTCCTGAACTGCGATCACTGACATGGGGTAGACGTCTGGTGGCGTGCGTACGAGCACAGTATCAGGTTGAAATATGACAATTTGACGGTGAACGATATGTCAAATGAGGCTGAACCTAGATGAACTAATTACCCCCACTCACTGTGTCAGAAGTTCAACCTGTCAAGTGAGGCTGTGACGATCCTTCTGTCAAGTTGCGTGGAGGGTTCGCCATCATGAGCAGACACGCAATTCTCAATCTCTAAACGACCAACAAACATGCCATTTAGTTCTAGATGGAACTTGACACTGTGATTTACGTCATGCCATAGTCATTCATGCAAGTACTAGAAATAGTCCGTAGTTGACCGGCTACTTTGTTTCAGTTCAGCTTCAGCCACAGTATACATAGGAATGTACAGTACCTTTTTTCTGGAAGCAAGTTGAGAATACCCATAACGATCGAGCAAAGATTCCCCACCCAAGAAGTAAAGGCTATTAGCGAAAGGATAAACTTCCCTAGTATCAAGCCATTCCGTTCGTACGTTGATCTCTGCATATCCCGTCTCAGTCTACATGTACTTAACTGATGTCTCAATATCTTAAATACATGCAATTCCCTCACGTACCGATATGGAGATTCATCTCTTGGCAAAAGAACAAACAATTCCTGTCCAACAAGAACGGTATAGTCGATCTCGTAGTTCCAAGTCGTTGACTCAAATCGAAAACTTCTAGAGAACGATGTGGAAAAGATGCAAGGGGCGCGTTGGTCTTGGTAGAGATGACAGATCAGATAAGGCAAGATGAGGCAACGCACATTAAACGATTGTCATTTATTAATTATAAGGTACAGATCGGAAACTAATGCAACTGAACCTGTAACTCTCTGTTGGCTGTAAACAATATGATTTATGCAGAATACTTTTCTTATTTTCTCCTTTCTCTTTACTCGTCATGTTCGGGTTGAACGTATTGTCCGACGGAGTCTGAAGGATTCTCGCACGACCCTGCAGTGCGGAAAAGTAAAAAAGCTAATTAATTGCAAGCTAACTTCGGAGAGTACCTGGTACGTGCTGCTGGACCTGAAGATGGTCCAAGCGAGATCTGCGATATCCCTGTCTCAGCTCTTCTTCCCAAAAGCTCAAGCCCACAGTCCCATTTGAAGAAGAGCTAAAAGAAAAGCCCTACGCAGTACGGATACAGTGTGTTGAAGACATGTTGTACCACACGTACAGAGTACATGTTGAGATGGGGAGAGAGAGACAAGACAACAAGGCCTCTTTTCTCAGCCTCGTTTGTTGTTGTCCCGTGTCCCGTGTCGCATCTAATTAATAACCGAAGGCACTGTAACAGGAGAGAGCCAGGAGATATCCAACTACCGATGCTGGGGCTCTCTCTCATAAACTCCAACCAAGTACATGAGAGATAACATGACCAAGGATGTAGGGTTTGTGTACCCATCCCTTTGTCTTACCTCAGACAAACCCAACCCACATCTTTTCTTGTCATGATATGATATGATGTATTGTCAAGTGGAGGGCATCGCCAAGGCTAATGTACCGTATCATGTACAACTAAATCATCAGACCCCCTTACTGCACGAGTATCCATATCTCTTGTTGTTGTTGTCTCGTAGCAAACACTGTCGTCAGATATCATAATCACTGTGAAAATTCTCCGACAAGAGCCTGAATCCTTTACAATGTTCTAGTTTCTCGGCGCAATTATATCTTTGACCAATGAGTTAGAAGAAAAGCCCCCTTGTAATAATAAATGCTAGAATCGAATGTATTCTCTCCGTATCTTACGCCGGGTTTTCTTCTTAACTTGGATGCTGCGAGTGGATGCTGACCCTTTGTATAACCCCAAACTACTAGAATAGGAAAGGCAATAAAACGCGCAAGACGAATGACATTTGAACACTCTGACATAAATGTGACGACGAGTGAAATAGAGTAAAAAGTTACAAAAAAGTATGCCCAATGCAAACATGTGATATGTTACGATATCTCTAATAGTTGTCACACACTGAAAAACAAAAGGAGAAAGAGAACAACAGAAAAAAGGATAAGCCAAGACTGAACCAGTTGAGAAGAAGGCGAGGCAAAGGGGGAAATAAAAAGACAAGCAAAAAAAAAAGCAAAAAAAAGGAATCCCATGGATATCGCAATATGTATGTTAAAACTCGGCCTTCCAAAAGCCACCGCAGACTCCTCATCTCTGTCAGAGAATCCCTCCCATTTGTGAATGCTTGTAACCAGAAAAAGTAAAGCTTATAATAATAACCAAGAGATGGGAACCGGGTGCCCCCAAATCATCATCATTGTCGTCATCATCAATCATCCCCCAGGCCCTCCTCCCATTCCCCGATGGGTTGTTGGTTCAGCTCAGTGCAAGAGCGCCGTATGTATGAGAACATACGCATTTCAGGGCGGACGGGTCTAGGTCGTTGGTGTCTTGAACTGCCGGGGGGGGGGGGGGGGGGGTTCAACTTTTTTTTTGGCGCCGATCAAATGCTAGACATGGGGTAATGGTAGGTAGAACATGGCCTGTGGCTCGTGTCTACTCACTTGCAAAATGGACGATGACCAGGGCCCCTGTGCTCCATGTCCCCATGTCATGTCCCTGTTGGTTGGGTTCGATCCTTTTTGGGGACGATGGATTGTTGGTTGTCGCTTTTCCCCTTTGGAAAAACAGCAAAAAGATACTGTCAAAGCAAAGGCACTTTTAGTTGGCCCAACCGCGAGTCCAGTCCTGGAGGTCCCCGACAATTTGGTATGTAGGGTTCGCTGAGTGGCCATCTCCGCCCTTCTTGTTCCAGGCCCATCGGTCGGCTAGGTCGCTGTCAAGGGTGCCCTGCATCATGGCCATCACGTAGTCACCAATGACGGGCAGGAACTTCCAGCCGTGGAATGAACCTCCAGTTGCGATATAGAGATTGTCGGATTGCGGGTGGGGAGAGATGAGGAAGTCATGCGTTGGTGTTGATGCGTCCCTGTGGCATAGAACCGGTCAGACCATGATATTTCCCAATACATTGAAACAAAAGACAAGACATGTCGTTCATTTCCAGTTAACGGCAAATGGGGGTGGCCGTTGGCCTTGCTTACTTACCAACACATCCGGTAGGCCTCAATCTTGATGTTCTCAACTTCCTTGCCATATAGACCATTAAACGTCCTTCGCGCCCGATCCTCAAAGAACTTGAGGAACCGAGGCCCTGTCCACGTGTTATACACGGACTGGTCAGGCACCACTGACATGGCCTCACCGGTCGGAGGAAATACTTGGTAGTTGGTGAAGCATAGGTCGCAGTTGAACTTGATAGTTCCGTCAGCCAGTATTGACATGCCCTCGCCTGATAGCAATTGTTAGCCTCATGACCGATGATATCCGCCTTGCCTCACTCAGCTCGGCAACAACATACCTTTGACCTGGGGCAAACAATTCTTGAGAACAGGAATTGTAGAAAACTTGTCCTTTTGCGCGCCGTGCAGCTTCGCGTAAAAGCTCACAGCACCTGTAGCCAACAATCTTTCGCCAGCATGGAGCAGTGGCTTTTCAGGCGCGCTTTGTGCAAGTAGAGAAGCTGTTCGAGCCCCTGCTGCCAAAAGGGTCTTGTCAGCACGTAATGTCGTGCCGTCCTTGAGCGTGACACCGACGCATTGATCTTCAGATCCAAAGTCAAGTGTCGTCACCTCACCCATGACAAACTCGGCTCCGAGGTCGACCGCAGCCTGCACCACTGCGCCGAGCGCCTTGTCCGCCTCCCCGAACCCCACGTTAGGGTTCCAGAGAACCTTATCCACGCCCTTGAAGTCAGCCGTCTCAAACGCACCGTTCCAGCGGCGGCGTACTTCCTCGACGGGTAGTAGCTCTGACTTGTTGGGAATTCCCATCTCGCGGTAAGAGGCAATGCTCTCTTCGCCAAACGAAGTAGCGTCTGCACGGAGCATGCCAACCTCGTGGTAGAAACTCTTGTAGAGCTCGTCACCCCTCCAGAGGGGCATGGCCTTTTTCAGCAGGCGCATGTAGAGCTTGTCTGGGTAGTCATCACGAATGATCTTGTTGATGTCGTGCGATGCGGCTCTGGGGTTGGGGTAAGCGGCCGGGTCAACAATGGTAACCTTGACGTTGCCCTTTCTAAGAAGCGAGAGCGCCGTGGCAGCACCAAAGTTGCCGGCCCCTATGATGAGGACAGAAGGAATGACCATGATGGTAGTGAGGGGTGGGATGTGTTCAGTTCAGTTCAATTGGAGTCTCAGAACCAATGCGCATGAGAATTGAAAGAGTAAAAGGGAGTAGTAAAATAATTGTTTGTTTGTTTCTTGGTGTATAGGAAAAGTGAGACTTGTCAACGCCATGTTGGGTCTCATGGGTGCGGACGACTACTAACTTTATATCCTCAGCCTTCAACCACCAAACCCATGGCCGGGCCGGGAATTCTAGGCCAATGCCAATGCTAGTTAATATCAAAAAGCGGTCGACTGAGAGACAAACGCCAGAAACCCGAAACTAGTAACCGTTGAGAGCATAGGCAATTGCCGGTCAGTCTCGTGTACATAGGCTTAGTACTGACCGCATGCGTGCAAGTCAGGCAAGGTAAGGCTAGGACAAGGCGTTCAAACATCCAATCCATCCAATGGGTACATACACCACAGTACAGTGCTCTACGTACAAGGTAGTGCAGAGTACAGTAGAAGGCCAGTTACATTAATCCTGGGTCCTGTCCTAGGCGGCTAACCACCTAGTTCCACACTCCTTTGAGTATGTACATACATAATAAACAGACTTGGGTAATTACATCGACTGATTAAATGATTGATTGACGTGGACGTATGCCAAGGGAGTTGTCTCATCTTGACGGCTTCCAGCAAGGGGGGTCAACAAAGTAAAGAAGAAAAGAAAATTAGGAGAAGAAGCAACACAACACACGCAAGAAAATCAACTAAAAAAAAGAACTTAGACAACTACTAGTCTAACTAGTTAGTTAGTATCTGTACCCCTGAACTTTGCGTAGTTAGTTGACGGCTTAGGGGGGTGAAAGAAATATACTGCGAAAAGAAAAAAAAAGAACAAAAAATTAGAAAAAAAGAAAGAAAAAATAGGGCGAGTGATATCAGATGAGCCACACGAACAAAAGTGGTTGTGTTGTACTTTTCTCGTAGAGCATTAACCTTGTCGTCTCTCGGCGATCTCTGGAAAGACTTGAGAGAGAACATGCTCTTTTCTCTCTTCACCTTCTCCACCCAACCCGAAACAGTAGAAAAGTAAAACCCAGCTAGGGTCATGGGGCTGGGACGGGCAACAAGCTTCGAGTAGCCATGATTTTGTGATTTGGTTGGTTGCGGGCTCATACATTCAGACAACCTGTAATTATTGCCTCGTTCCGTGCCAGGTACCACAAGGCTCCCTTGAATGATAAGAGAGGAACTAGTCTAGACTGATACAGCACTGTACTATGATCAAAGCGCGATGGCTGCTTGGGCTGTCGTTGTTTGTATCGCCTAGATGCAGTTCAGTTCTGCAACTTGCCCCGAGGTTACCGATGCTCGACAGTGCTGTAGAACCCGTGGATGCCATGCATCAAAGCTATCGGCATGCCAGGATCTCCGCGAGATCTGCTTTCCCGGTACGAATACACTGTACCGTACCATCCACCCACCCACGCGTTGGGTATTCGCTACGAATACTGGGTCTGCGTCTAGCAGGAACAATATGGAGTGATTCTCCGTACAGCAGCGATCGCGCACTGTCATTAAGAATTGCTGCTTGCTGTTTCGTGCCTGGTGGATCTACTGTTGACAGTCAGATACAAAACTGAAGCTGAAGTTGACGGACGCTATGACAGAAGTGCCTTGCCGTCGGAACTCACCGCTCGCTTGCTTGCCTTTCTTTTTTGTTGTCTCCTTTTCTTTTGTTCTCTCATCCTTTCTTTTCTCCTCCTTCTTTTCTCTTCTCTCTTCTCCTCTTCTCGTCTCGCCTCCTCGCGTCTTGTACCGTCTCGCCTCCTTGCCCTTTATTAATCCCAGTTTGCGGTGGAAGTCACCCCTCATGCAACCCCCATGCAAGTTCCCATCTGCTTCCGCCCTAGTCCCGCACCGTTAAGAAGCCACGTGCGCCACTAGGGGTTGCGCGGAGCCTGTCTGTCTTGTTTCTGGAGTTGAGATGAGATGTCGAGGGGAAACATGTGTGGGGAAGGAGTAGATTGACCATTGAGATCGGATCGTAGTGCCGGGCTGGAGCCTACATCATGGCATGATGCCATGGTCGAGATGAGATGAGATTCCCTTGTCTGCATAGACATGGCATTGCTTGCTGCCGTTATGCGGGAATGGTCTCAGGCTCTCCATCATCACACATTGATTTCTCACAATCAGTGTTTCCGAATGGTTGGCTCATATTCTGATCGCCAGGGTACATGTCTGTGCAATCCCGCTAGCGTCGGGATCGTCTTTCCAAGATGCCCAAAAGAAGGCGAGATTTCAGCTCCTGTTTCCACGAAAAGGCTCTGGAGCACCCTAAAGTTGAAATGTCACATTGCTTCAATATGAGATCGTACGGCTGCAAGTCATCTATGCCTTGCGGAGGCGCGAGTGACAGCCAGACCACAGGTCTGGGAAAGCCACCCGTTCCTCACAAGGCGGACTGGCTCGTTGCTCTGTATTGAAATGTACTCTAGTAGATCCTCAGACCCTGCCGCCTTTGGCGCCTTCTGGTAGCTTACTCCCATGTTCTCTTATGGAACTCCAATACGTTTCACCCTCAGACGTGGCTCTGCTTCCTTTTCTCGAACGATCTTGATGTGCGGTCCCGTCGTACGACTCAATCAACAATCGCCCGATGCGTGTAACCGAAACGTCAAGCGCCGACACCCATTGATAAGTTTGCTCATGTTGTTGCCCGTCTTGATCTGTGACACATACACCGACCCAGCTCTTGCATACAGTGTAGTATCCGCAGCTGGGCGCTCATGAGTCGTTGAGGCCTGCCATGGCCTTTCAAATTACTCGGCTTATTGTTAAGTCGATCCTTTGCTAAATCTAAAAAAGCATGTCCTGCAATTCAGTGTGAGAAAGAATTCTTGCATCCTGCCCGAAGGCTAGCTGCATATGTAACGAGTTTTTTTTAGTTTTTTTTGGTGACTCTCACCGATGATGCACCAGCTTACAGGTGATTTGATTGCATCATCCACAAAACGAGCTGTCCTCCGCGCCGAGGAAAGGTTGGGCGACCGGCTCAGCACCAAGAAGTGTGACCGGCTATGAGTGATATATGATTGTCTTGTAAGTTCTTTGAGGCCGGATAAAGCACCGAAGTGTGGCTGCCACTGCAGAAGATACAGACAGTCCATGTGTATGCCCAAAACAATTTCCATGAATGAGTTACAACGTTGGATCGTTAATAATAGATGGGCCTAGTCAGCGATTGATGCGCCCTTGGACAGATAATCTCTTGGCGTACAATGATTGGTTCATGCATACTTCAGGCATTTCGGGTTTCTATGAGCCGCATGGTTGATTTTGACCGGTGGCGATCCTCCAATCAGGGGTACGACTCCAAATGTAAGGAAACTGACCGGTCTAGGTCACGCATCTCAATGATTGAGCTCGTGACCCGGGGCCTCAAGATGTCATGACGCGATGCTTGACCGTCAATTTGTGTCTTTCAAGTCCATCTCTGCGGGCAAACTTGCGTTTTTTAGGCGGGTTTGGACAACCAGGCACGTCGCACCTCCAAGGTTTTCTGTGTTTGTTGCAATGTTGGCTGTGTTATATCAAGGTCAGCAGGAACCAGAAAACTTTGTGTGTGAGATGTGAGACTTACGCGAAAGAAGAGTTTCGATCAAAGATGACAAGATTACCCTCTTTGTCAACGCCACCCTTGTCGCACCGATATTCTAACGGGCAGTGATATGAGCCTTTGCCTCTTTGTTTGAGAGCATCCATATCAATCTTGCTGAACTGCTCATCCTCATCTCCTCCCGAATCTTCTGAAGCAGAGATGTTTCCTCCAGGAGATAGAGTATCATCAGTGTTTTGAGATAGTAGGTTTCGCTGACCACCACGGCCACCAAGACCAGCGTCACTTCCTCTGCCTGGTTGCTGAATCCAACCCGCAGGCTCAGACTTGACAGCAGGAAACGGAGGAATGACCTGGTAAGTAGACCCAGATAACCCTGCTCCAGATTCGGGTTTCCGCTGCCAGACTTCTTGTACTTCTTCGGAGAATTTCTCTGCCAGATCACGAATCTTGCTATAAGAACGGATGAGCCATGCTTTCACAGTGGGTTTCATAAGTGGTACAACTTACCCTAGCTTGGTGATATTTATGTCCATGGTGGCCATTGGTTGTAAATCCGCCATATGAGTCGTTGTAAAGGACCGCTCATGAGCGTCTTCCGCCGCTCTCTCCACATGTGGCCCTTGAACCAGTCTATTTGTCAAGGAATACCACATTCGGGCGGTTTGGGCAAGGTAGTCGCCCACATCGTTAATGATGTTTTGGTGATGTCCGGGCGATGTCCCGGCGGCGGTGAATTCAGCCTCTGATGCTAGGTCTCTGGACGCAGCCGCTAATTGGTGCCGGACTAGGGCATCCAGAGAGTTGGGTCCCATCGAGTTGCCGGGTATAGCGTGGATCCCCGATTCAAAGACAAGCGTAGTTGAAGGGACTGGCATGGTGACAGTATCGTATGTATCTGTACTCTGTACCTCTCTAGATACTCTTGTATTTGTTGTTGACTAGCGTCAATACTGTATGTAACTAGAGCCACTATGTACTCCGTACTATGCTCAAGTGTCTGAACCAACCACACGGGACCTAGCAGTAGTAGTGCTGCTACAAATTGTGGCACGGAAGCTAACGAAGGGCTCGGGACCGGCGCGGCGCGGCGGCGACCACGGGAAGGCAAAAATTTGGGGCAGCAGCCGAGGGGGAGGGGAAAAAAAGACGGCCCAGGCACGGATACGTATGTAGTAGGGTTTCGCTCTGACTGTAGCGCTCCTGAAAACAGAAGAAAGGAAAAAGATGCTCATGCACTTGCTTGCTTGCCTTGGTGGCCGGTCAGAGAAGGAAGATGGGACAGCATGTAGCGTAAACTGTTGGCGAATGCCCATAGGCGGGGTTGCGTTGTGTACTGTACTGTAGGTACTCTGTCTGGTTTGGTTTGGCCTAGAAGCCAGTGCTCAAAGGCGAAAGTCGAATGTCGCTGTAGATGCTCGGTGAGCGAGCGTCCTGCGTCTTAGGCCCGTGAAAGAGAACAACCGCAATACCCAACGGGGAATTGACAATATGAATGCTGTGGTGGTTTCAGTCAGTCCTTGGAACCAGCTCCTTATGAGGCCGCCAGAGAGGCAAGACATGCGGTGCCGGATACAAGCACAACTTTTTCGTGTGAGCAACGGGTGACGGGAAAAGAGACAACTAGCTAAGAGAAAAGAGACAACTGGGTCTAGGTAACGCTGGTGTGTTCGGGGGCTGGTCTCCCAGCTTGTACCAACGTAGTTTACAGTATTGTTGGCACTGGACGGGACAAACTGCACGCCGCAGCGCAACACCGTTGTGCGTCCGGTCAAGGTTCAGCGCGACTGGGCTGTCTCCATACCGGTCGGTGGACTCTCGATCCTGGACCTGGAAAAGCAAGGGCGGATAGCTAGCGTCCATGGGACGCCATGGCGTTTTTCCTTTACTGGATCCCCCCATCTCATTTGGCCCCCTTCCCCCCTGATCCCTGGACCCTGGCTATCACATCGACGAAAAGCCACGCTAGGTACAAATTGCTGGGCCACACTCATTTCCTGTCTCTCTCTCTCCCGGACCCTCTCTCTTTGTGTGTGTAGGTACAGTTCCTCAGTAGATAGCTTTTGTGTTAACAGCGGCGGCTGGCGCGTGAAGCGCCTGAGGCAATCGAGGGTGAGATTCGCCTTCAGGTTGCCCGCCCTACCGATCTTGACCAGGCGGCACTGGACCCAATATCGTGAGGCGGCTTACTGTAACCATTGGAGAAGCCCAACTCTTTCCCTTGTGTTAAGGGCTCTAAGCTTGTCGTTGAAGTGGGGAAAGCCGCAATCCAACCATCGCCCATGGCAGACGTTGTCCTGTCTAACGGCTCCTAGACATCTCTTATAGTTAAAGCTCTGAACGGGTCCAAAAGAGACAGAGAGCAACACCTTGGTCAAACGTGCCTTTTAATGCAGGTACTCTCCCCAGACTCACACCATGACCTCACGCTCTTCCTGACTCTGCTTTAACACCCCTCTGCTGGCCCCTTAGTTCTGTTGTTTCCTCTTCGCTTCTTGTTGTCTCCTTCCGCCCCCGCTGTTCCGGTGGTTCACCCTCCAGAAATCCACTCTCGCCAGGTCTGGCTTTTGCCTTGAAGCGAACCACTCTACTGGTACAGTATCTCATCAATAAGCTTTCAAACCGACGCGCTGTGCGTTGCCCCCGGGCCCGGCGGCTCATCCAACATCTGAGATCGCTTCCTGTTACCGCCCGCCGCAGCTGGTCTCCTTGGTGTTCTGATCCGGACGTCTCCGAAACGACAAGACCGCCTTTTCATCTCATCTCTCTTGTCGATTGCAAACGCGCGGACCCATCGGAGTTACACTCCGGCGGCGAGCCGCTCAGATGGAAAGCTCACCAGAGCCAACTCGTCCGTCGAAGCGCGTGAAATACGAGCAACATGACGATGCGATTCAAATGAGTATACCTGGAGCCGATATCAGAGCTTCCGAAACCATCAACGGGTCTTTAGTTGCCGATGTGCCGTTTTTCGATAACCCATGGCCTTCGACGACGGCCTTGTCGTCTCCTTCTCAGGTATTCTTCAACTTTTCTGAAGACATTGACACCTCTTGGACCCCTAATTTTACAGGTGAGGAAGTGAACCTGTCTTCCCTCATCTAATGGATCCTTCCAGCTTCCCTTGATGCCTTTTCGTTTTTGGTTATGCGCCCCGAGTACTCTGCCCATCATGCCGTGTTTTTTTTTCATTGTCCATATTCCGTCCCTGTGGAGGGCCTTGGGGTGAGATGGGTCTCATATGAGAGTGCAACGCCTTGGGCAGTTTGAGAGAACATATTGCACCTGCCCACCCCGCTCTCACCCCTACCCTCACACCGTCGCACCTTTTAACTCAGAGCTCATCTTTTACCCATCAAACCCTTGCTTCCATTCCACTGCCCATCATAAAGGAATTAAAGCTTTCCGTTGACCCGATCATGCCATGGTAGACTATCGAGTCTGTGAGCTGACGTTCCATGCAGCACCCCAGCCTGCGACGTTGAACCTTCAAGCAGCCACGACGCCTCAACCTGAACTGCAACGTCCTCAGACACAAGAACTGCCTCGACTCTTGCCTGCGGCACCAAGCGCTACTCTGGAGGAAGATGCAGGATACGAGGTTGCAAGGCAGGGTGAGGCACCTTTTGTCAGCCCTTTCAACTCAGAGGAACGGTTGACTGTGTCCGTCCTCCCTCGTTTCGCTCGGCCTCATAATGGACAGGTGAATGGTTATGTCAAGTTCAACTGGCCTACGAAACAGGACTCGAGCCAACTGCCTGATCCTACTTCTTCGCAATCAGACGATGATGTTGTGGATATAACGCCACATATATCGCGATCGCGTCCTGACACTCACAACTCTGGCATGGTATACTTGGATATGTCTGCGCCCACGATGTCCCGAGGGCAAAGCAGGAGGTCGTCGTCCGTGACCATTGAGTTGGTGTTGGGAGGCGGCACTCCATCGCAGGCATTGATGGTGAATTCGTCACCTTCACCTCAAGAAGCGTTTGCACGAGCTCCACGAAAGGTTCCCAAGAAGTTCGGCCATGAAGCCGCCATGGCCGACATGGACTATATTGACAGGCGATTATTCGACTTTTGTAAGTCCGCTCAGTGGCAGTGCTGGCTGGCAGTCGTCAGTCCACCATGTTTCAACCATCCCTAACTGTCGTTATAGACATCAACAACTGGTGCCCAGGAAGGAGCGTTCTCCAAAACACGAATCTTTGGCTCAAAGATTTGGCTCCAATGGGTCAAAACAAAGGCATATTGCATGCTATTCAAAGCCTTGCTGGAGTTTATATCTATGATTATTTGCCAGATGAGCGTATTCGAAAACGAATTAATGAACGGTATGCCATGGCGAATGAATATTTTGTTGAACTTCTCAACGCGCCTGAAAGCACAACGCGTGGACAGGGGCGAGAGGTTATCACCATGGCCGTGCTTCTTTCTATGCAAGATGTATGTGTGACTGTGTCTTGCAGTCTATGTTCTGTTAGTTTTGCCGTGAAATGACCTAACAGTTTCCCAGGTCATCCTTACCGAACGACGTCTAAAAAAGCCTGAGAAGCCCCGATGGCTGGAAGGTTTTAAGCAGGGCGAATATTTCCTTCAACAAACGGATCCTGGTCGTCGATTTTGGAATGAAAGTCACAGCACTGTGCAATACGATCCCCTTCGAATATCTCAATCAATAATCGTTGGTCGGGCAGTAATCCTTGCTCAACCGATGATGGCACTCCCTGACCCCGTAACAATGAATCCCGAGATCGAATCCAACAGGTTTAACTGGCTTCTTTATGGCGCGGAAAATGATCTGTTCGAGATTCATGGTGGCTGCGGATTTTCGAAGAAGCTGTTGCACACCATGAGCCAGGTCACATACTGCGCAGCGCGTTTGCAGCAGGAACCTACGAGCACCATCGTCCCCATTACGGCAAGATTCTTGATGCGGACGTTGACTGACATGCGCCAATGGAGCCGTGAGGGGAAGTCTTGGGAACAGTGTCAACAGCGTGCCCAGACGATAACCTGGGTGCGTATCATCCCGGATGATGTTATAGTATCATCAAAGGAGGATATGACGGACGTTACAGCCGAAGCATGGAGAATTGCGGCGATAATTTATTATCAATGTCGTCTTTTAAGGTATGAGTTGGAAGACAACAAGAGATGGAGAAGGAGGAGCAAGAGAATTGGTTGGATAAGGATTGTGTAAAAGCACTGTCTCTTTCCTTCCATGCATCTATACTCCTGCTTCTCGACAAAGAACCAAAAAAAAACACAAAAAAACATGGCAAGTGCGCTAACACATGGCCTTACCTGCCTAGACTACCACGAAATCACCCGGAAGTTCTTTCCAATCTAGACGATCTCGCCAAGTGCATTCGCATTATGCCAACATCAGGGACACATTTCACAGCTCAGGCGCCTTTACTGCCAGTCTTCTTCTTAGGATTGCTTGCTACTAATCCTGCGCATAAGGAGGTATCAAGAGGCTGGTTCCAACAAGTCACAAACACGCCAGTTCGAAGTGTAAGTAAGACAAACAAGACAAAAGAAAAAGAAACGCAATCCTCCCATTTTCGTAATCTATGGCAAAGGGCAGGCTGGTTCTGCCCTTGGTCAGGTCTACCGCAAAATTACTCTAGTGTTGAATTAATGTGCTAACATCTCATCCCAGAGTGTCCCCCCATTATACAACGCGCTCAAAAGAATCTGGGACTGGATCGACAGCGATGTAAACCTCCAATTCGACCCAACTCCTATTCCTGAATCTCTCGGCCAGAGATATCCTTGGTGGGAACACCTCGTCAAGAGGGTACTCGAAGAAGAAGACGAAACTCTGTGCCCGACCTGACGCAAACATTCATTGTACACGTCTTTCTGTCCATTTTGGGATCCAATACCTCCAACGGTATTTAACAAATCGCAGCAAATAGTTGCCCGCCTTTTTAGAGGTGAAGATTTTTTATCATTTGTTTTCCTTTCATTTTTGAGGAATCGATAGGGCGAAATGAAGGTCGACCAATGGGACAGCTTAACTGACCCCTGAGACGGCACTGTCAGCGTCGTCTCGCTGGTCCTTGCTATCCTTGCGGCGCACAAGATATTGACCTACACGCCCATCAGTATGAAAATCGTAAAAGAAGAAGAAGAAGAAGAAGAAGAAGAAGAAGAAAATAGAAATAAGGGAGGAAAAAGAAAACAAAACGCTATGAACGGCGTGGATAGGGATTACTCACGGAATTCCGAGTTAGGTGCCTGCCAGACATCAATCACGCTCAGTCCTGCCTTATAGCACATGAGGCGCACGTTGTCTTCGCCATACTTGTGAGAATCGAACCAGTCAAATTCCTCACCCTTCTGGATGACGCGGCCCATCTTTTTGAGCTTGACGTCTTGCTTGGCGCGGAAGAAGAATCGGTGTCGTGTCGTGGGTTCCTCCTCCAGCTGAGCAAGGAAGTCCCAGTCCTCCTCACGGAACCACTCTTCACCTGCCAGTCGGTTGGCATGCTTGAATCCGTTCAAGAAGAACTGGTGATAGAGGTCATCACACGAGTGGTAAGCGTCCCAGATCTTGTCTCGGTTGCCTGGAAGGACGTGGCCGTCCATTCCGATAAGAAGGAGGTCATCAGGTCGAAGAGCATCGGCCCAGAACTTTAGGTGAGCCAATGCCTCGGGCCAGGGATCGTTGCACAGTACGGATCCGAGCGAGAGAAACAGTCGGGGTGACTGGATCTTCTTCACGTAGTTCATGCCATCGCCAAAGGTTCCCCAAATACCTGCGCAGGTGACCGAAGACTGCTTGCTCGGATGTTGTCCCACCAGATACTTGATGTTGTGGTCCAATGACGATCGAGAGATGTCTAATGCAAGGTACTTGGTGGAGACGTTGGCCTTGTCGAAAGCAGCAAGAAGGTGGCCAACCTTGCGGGTGTCACTAGAGAAAGGCGCGTTAGTTTTGACAGGGTAAGCTTATAGCCGCTACTCGCTGAGGGTGGGCAGAATGCGGGGACAACAGAGGACAAACTAACCCGGCTCCTAGATCAACAATAGTGACACCAGCTTGGCAACGCGCAGCGACATCTGCACCGTGCTTATCGAAAAGCGCAATCTCGTCATGAGTTTGGTAGAACTCTGGGGTGAAAATGATCTGGTTCCAGATCGGCAAGCCTACATCGTCATATAGGAGCTCGTCTGGAAGGGTTGGCTTGGAGGTTGAAGAATACGACGCCGTGAGGGTCTGCTCCAGCCGTTCAGCAACATCATCGTACATGTTACTGCCGCCGATATCGACTACAGCTCCATGGGCGGAAGCATCATTCTTGGGGCTCATGGTGCTAATTGCGTCTCATGAACCGGACAAGAACTGAACGAATGTTTATTCAAAGCAGCTATCCGAAGCTACTGTCCAAAATCGGAGGAAGGTGCGACTTGACGTCAGTCACAAACAGGGTCTGTTACACACAACCGGTGGTGTAAGGGTTGACAAAGTATCGCCTCCAGAAAAGAACGAAAGAAAAAAACGGCGATTGAAAAAAGGATATAACACTGCGCAAGGTGGCACCGGTGTCTGCAAATGTGTCGAAAGTTGACGGATAATGTTGTCGACGCCAAAAAAAAAAAAAAAGGAAGCTAGCGAGTGGAAGGAGAAGAGATTGCGATTGAAGGTCTGCGTCGGTCGATTCTTATACCCTGGCGTTGGGAAATCACTTCAATCAGATGCCAGCTGCTGCCAGCTACCACTGACAATGTTGGTTTCAGTGCCTGCCAGTGCCAGTACCGCTGCTCAATGGAGTCGGCTCAGGGAGTCGAGGAAGGCCTGTGGACAGGCGCTGGAAGTGGTAGAATGGTGCGAGACAGAAAGAGACAGGCAGGCAGTGAACTAGCAAGGGCGTGATATGATTTGAAGCGATTCAAGAAGAGCAACGCGGAGCGTGGATCCTGGACGCTGAAACGAAAGTGTCTGCCCCTCAATGGAAACAAAGCAATGCATCATCTGGATCTCCCATGGGTTTCTTTCTGTTTTTCTGCTTCTTCAGTTTGACAGCTCAATGCAATGCCCGTCAGTATGTACAATGCTGGTCTTGATTCCCTGACTGCTACTGGGTGATACGGCATACCCCAGCACTAGAATGTATTTGCTTGCGTGCGCAAGGTGGTATAGTGAAATGGGACGGATCTTGGCCATGTACAGACTTTACTCAAAGCGATTAATCCTGCATTGGGGCGAGCGTAGAGGGTGTCATCCCCCATGCTGCTCCAACATTGACCTCTCCACTGCGAGACATGGGGGGTCCCGCTAAGTTTTGGGGAAGATATCAAGACCCTTGTTTTTTCCTTTTTTTGGTGTGTGTGTTTGTGTGTGCCGTGTTTTTTCCCCTACACGTCTGTCGTTTTTGTTTCTTGCTCTTTAGTCATTGTTGTAGAAGGAATTGATCACCCCAATTATCTGTCTCAGATGTCGTATTTAAAGCCTTCCAGAATGGTGCTATATCAGGCTACCGAGGAGCTAAGTGGCAATGGGATGGCTTGCTGCATATCGTGGTTTGGAATCACGTGTTGAAGTTTTGTTGTAACTTCAGAACACTCGCGGTAATATCCAGGCCCTGACCCTGCACGAGCGAGCACTAACGAGGATCCAGGATGTGGTGAGAAACGAAAGCCTATTTGGGCATTTGGCCTACGCTCCCTCCACCATCACCGGAGGGCATGTAATCAACTCACCAAACAAGCACGAGCCTGTTCAAGGAATGGCGCGCTTCGCAATCGGTTGTGCAGTCTGGAGAACGACACTTGACCAAAGATTCCACCGAGGCATTTCATTCATGGCTCCGTCTTGATCTCCACGGACCCGCCTTCACCCGCTAGGCATTGCCGTGCTGGCCAACTTGATGCTGTCTGCTATCCATAGGCCGTCTCTGGTAATGCCGGCAAAAAGGCCTTGATGAGATGACTGGTCATGTCAGCCCAGAAAAGAAAAACAGAGCTTTTGGTTGATCCTCGATGTCAGTCAAGGTGGCTACAACAACATAGGGCACTTTGCAAACACCCCTGTTTCATCCCCAGTTCCAGCCCTGGAAGGTGGGATACATACAGATGCACGTCATGGTTCAAAACGAATCCCGCTCAAGCTAGAGAGACAAGCAACATGAGCTTGACAGACGGCAAAGATAGCGCGGTTTTCAAGTCGGACTCTATTGGCCACGATACCCTTGGTCTGCCTCTTCCGTGTTGAAAGACTGATGGGCTGACTCTTTGGGTAGCACAATGGCGTCGTTGGTCGCTGATCCTCAGTGCTATCTCGACAACGGTTCCTGGCCCCTTTTGCACGGTGTCTTTTCAAAACCCTTGGTGCAAATCGTTCGAGGCGTTGAGAATCTCGCGAGTCTTGCCGAAGATGGAGTATGCCTACACTCCAATCTCAAAACCTTGACCGCCTGTTGATCCAACACACCTTGAAAGAGAACGCTGCTCTTCAACTCCCTGACAAGGCTCGGCCCCGTCTCTGCCCCATTTCACCGCGGCACAGATCATTGTTGCATCTCGACAACCCATCACACGGAGGCGGTGGGGAAAGAGTGCACGCGTACGCAGTCCAGGACGTACCGTGAGGACTATTTATTTATTGGCGGTCACAGGAAAGCTCAATACGGGTTCAAGGTTTGACGACAGGCTCCAAGTTCAGATGGACTCTGCAGAATCGAGAGCCATGCAGGGGGGAGGGTGTGTTGATGTTTGTTTGTTGCAGTCAAGCTTTGTTCGCAGACACGCCTTGGAAGAGACTTGAGTGGATGGGGGTTGCAAGTGGAGGTGTGCTGTGCTGCAAGAGTGAGATGCAGAAAAAATAGCCCGCAGTCATTGCAAGGGTTCAGAACTGCGCACTAAACTAGTATGCTCTCTCAGCTGGGGGTACACGCGCAACCATCATCAAGTCCTTGTCAGTCACAGAGACTGGAAGAGCAGGCTATGAGGCACGAATCTTGCAAGGCAGTTGCTGATATCAACTGACTTTGGGCACGATGGACCCTGCTACCGTCTTGAGTAATGAGCCAAGCCTCAACGTCTTTGATGGGGCCGTCAAAGTTTTACTAGGCTTTAGCTAAACGCAAGGAAGGGAACTCCCGCCGTGCTAGGATGGTTTCCTTTCTTTTCCCGCAGGTCCGCTCAAAGTTAACTGGGGCCGTGTTTGTTCTCCACTGGTTTTGAGTCTTGGTAGGTTCTATCTCGTTGGTTGATGCTTAGTAGAGCTCCAACGTTGAAAAAGTCAATGGCTGGGCGCTATATGTACAGTAAGCCGTTGTTATTGACTAGGTGCAATTGATCAATTGATCCCATGCAGAGTTTTTTCCTTTTCTCCGTCATTCATTTCCGTTTGGAGCTTTATCTGCTACCATGGTTCATCCTCTTTACTTGTCCTTTTGTTAACTTATCACCCAACTGCACGTGTAGTCAGTCAGTCAACTTGCATTGCATTGAAGAAACACGCTTAATAGCATCGTGCAGCTATCATCAGGGATCCTGGCTAGGTAGTGACGTTTTACAGACGGATAATAACCCTTCCCATGTCCTTGCCCTTGCCCTTGTCCGTAGAGACTAAAAGACAGCCATACATACCCACACCTCCAACTTTCTTAGCCGCCAAACCAGGAACGCAACTCAGACACCTCTATCTTGGGACCCCAGGTCACGGTGTTCGGTGCAATGAGGAAAAGTCAGACTCAACTTGTTATCGACCCGGTTTAGCCGCTTCCCAGAATGGCACAGTTGCGTAACTTGACCAGTACGAATCGAGATATGAAAACCTTGCATGACGAATGCTATCGGCTGCCATTGTATTACGATACGACAACACCC